TTCATTCATTCATTCATTCATTCATTCATTCATTCATTCATTCATTCATTCATTCATTCATTCATTCATTCATTCATTCATTCATTCATTCATTCATTCATTCATTCATTCATTCATTCATTCATTCATTCATTCATTCACGTTCATTCATTCATTCATTCATTCATTCATTCATTCATTCATTCATCCGAGCATCCAAGCATCCAACCATCCATTGAAACTATAAACAGGTAGCTGTTGTGATTTTTCAATTTCTACATGTAGTTCGGTGTGTGGCTTTTAAATTGGTGATACCTAAGTAGTCATACGCACGCACACATATGCAATATGCATTTACATGTTTAGGGGGGCCCTCCCGTGGTCTCGCAGGATGTGTGCCTGGCGGCGGTGCAGCAAGTGGGCAGATCCTTGAGATACGCGTCCCAAAAGCAGCAGGCAGTGGGCCAAAGGGCAAAGGCACGCAGGTGGGATTTGTGGTTCAGAGGTCCACCAACCAAGACACACACTTAGCAGGCTTCATCCATCATTCGTCGAAACATCATTTCGACATGAGCCCAGGGGGCATATACGGGCACCTTTCATACATCAATTGCAGAGGGTCATTGGAAGTAAATCCCAGAAATGTCCAAAGGATCTTGATCCAACTTCAGATGTGCAGAGCCATGGCCAGAACCCACCAGAGTTTCAAAAAAATATGTCAGGCCAACAAGCTGGTGGTGGATGCAGCGGTGGAGAACTCCACGGCGGGATGTTTCGGATCCGGGGCGTACACATCCCAAAAGGCTGGCTGTGGTGGAACCTCATGTTACGACACATAGCTCAGGTAACCTGGGCTAGGTAGGTGAATTTGGGATGCCAGGATTTGAAGTCCTGGTTCTTGTAGAGATGGGACACCCTCCACCAAACCAGTCCAAGCCAACAAGAGGGAAGCTGAATAGACGGTATCCGGATGTGTTAAGGGAGCCTTCAGTTTTGAAAGTCCAAGGGCCTGGTAGGAGACCACCCCTTAGAATGTTAGGGCACATTCAGATCTGCCACTTTTAGGCAGTAAAATTGCAGGTAGAGGATTTCCGTACGTATCTCCATAAACCACAGCTGGCGGATTCACATTCGTGAGGCCGTTTCTCGGTTCGGATGTGGTTGTTGGATTCGTTTCTGTGGGAAGATGCCAGATGTGCAGCGGCAAGTAGCCATATCAACTGTTCGTCATCAGGGACCCACACACACACACACCAGCACGTCTAGATATGCAAGTGCGCTCACAACACGGACCGACACACACACACAGGCTCTTATAATTGCTTGGAGTTGCATGTCTATGTATCTTGTATGATGCTTCCCAGGATGCGCTACCCTATGCCGCGGAGGAGTTGAAGCAGGAGCCGAAGCTGTTTGGGCCATTTGGGCGCGGAGATTCCAGATCTCCAGCCCCCGCCCATGGGGGTTTATTTACAACGCCCTTGGGTTTTTGTTTGTATTTTGTATATCTCTGTTTCGGCTTTAAGGGAATTTGTGCAGAGTTTGTAGATGGATGGGAAGGGTGCGTGACTGCCAATAAATGACATTTTCCAATGAAGGCTTTCTTGGCAGGCGCCCCCTACTATTTTCATGGAGAGCTGGTTCAGTGGCAATGAGACCTGATGAATTGCCCCCCAAGGAAATCAAACACAGTAATGGGAGCCCATAACTAATTCACCCATTGATGAACAGGAGGCATCCCATTTAGAGAGGATGCCCTCTAAACCCCTCTTTGTTTGGCGGGTTTGGGCAATTCTCCTTCTAGCAGGGCCAAGCAACTGAGCAACTGTACTTCACTTGCGATGTTGGCATATATACCCGTACACTTTGGCTTTTCACACAGGTTATTGCACCACTTGCCCAACACGGGCCTATCCATGCTTTGGGCTTCGGGAGGTTGACCTTTTCCACTGGGAACTCGACTGGTGGAAGTTGCTAAGCCCGGAACTCACGCAAAAGCCGACGACATGAATACCGCTTAGGCCCGGAATGTTTAGGGGCTTGTTGTCTTTTGGTTGTGTGGATGTCGGGTATTGGGAGGGGTACCCTTTGTTTAATCCAAAATCCAATGCTCGTGGCTTCCCCTTGCAAATGTAAAGCAACGCGCGCGAGCCGCACGATTTTCCGGTTGAGGTTCCCGCCAGGAGTGGGAAGAGGAGCTGACGCGGCGGTGGAAAGCACAAGGCTTGCACTTGGACCGCCGGAAGGCGGGTGAAATTGTGAATCAGATCAAATGAGCGGCCGAATGCGGCCGAAAGCCCCACAAGAGGCTAACTTTTCGTCTCACGATGTCTCACGGCCTTAGTTCCTGCACTTTAAACGTTTTGAGTCTGGACCACTTTTGGAAACAAGATGGACTTTTTCTGACCAACACACTCAAAGAATGAGTCGTACCTGGTTTCATGGGGTGTGCAGCAAGGCCTATGTAAGCCATCAAGTTGTCAGAGGCAAGCTGAGTTTTGGGCGCTGAGCAAAATTATGTTCTTGCCACTTTGGGCTGGTCGACCCTTTAGCAAATGGGCCAAGCCCCCGAACGAGTCTTTCTACAGTTTCGGGGCCCATGTTTCCACGGGTCAAAACGCGAAACCCTGCTTGCAGCTGCCTTTGCGCGAGTCAATCGAGAGGGAGACCTACAATTGTTGGGTGCGTGCCTGTTTTCAAGCAATCATGATTAAAGTGAAAAAGCAAGTGTTGGAGATGGCTGCTGCAAGCCTTCCGTTTCACCAGCTGCGAAGTCAAACGTTTCCGCGGAGAAACAAGATGGCGCACAGATGGACAAGAACAAGACCGGCCTTGTTGTGGGGGGAGGAAGGTGGGGAGGAGCCCTTTCCTTGTTGTTCTTCAGATGCGAGGGAGTCTCGGGCCGGGAGCGCTCAGAAGCGGCGCTCGGGGTCCACGCACGTGCAAAGACATGTTTTGACATCCACAAGGCGCCTCTTGTGATTCGTGCGCAATCAAAGAACCAACCAAACCTTTGATTGGCTTCCACATGATGGGCGATTGGTTTGAAACCCCGGAAACCAATTGATTGGCTTCCGCTGGGCCTCGCAAGGAACCTTCCCAAGGCACGAGCTGTTCCTTCCATCCAAAAAGAAGGTCCTTTCCCCATCAATGAACCCATTCTCCAAAACGCTGCAGAAATGGTTGACAGCCCCCACGTACAGAGTGCAGCGGGTCCAGAGTTCCTCCCTTGAGGACACCCCGGCTTTATGTTTCATGAACCTATGATTCATATACAAATTGGAGGCAGGTTCCATGTGGGGACTCGCAATCATTCTGCCTTACTCTGTGGAAGCCCAACTGACAGCGACCGAAAGCGCCAAAGCAGTTTCCAACACGCCTGGCTGGTCAATCGGACCCAGTGCGAAATAGTGACGTGTTCTACAGGTGCTGGCGGGGGTACATCCCACCCCGCTTTTGTCAGACCGTCGTCGTGGCCAAAAAAATAGGAGGGGAGCCCGAAACTAAAGCGTTATTTAGCCTTTACGTAAAAATGGTGGCTTATCTAAGCCTTTCTTACCTGGAGGTCTCAGCTCTAGGAATTTCTGTATGGGCCCTGTTGAAAAAGCCAGACCTAAACGCGAACTAGAAGGAGGCTGTTTGAACAATAGTGGTGCAACCACGTTAAAACAAGATCCTAGCGGGGTTTTGGCCAAATGATACGAGGGTTGGGCGGAAAGAGTGTCTAAGGGCAACCAAAAAGCACAAGAAGGAAGCCTGGGTGTGGTAGTTCTACGGATTCACTGCCCTCCCCCTGTTGAATGAACACCACCAGGAGTTGTGTTTCACATGTTGGGGCAAAGGGCAAACTTTGCACATTTGGCGTCTGCGAGTCGTCGGGCCCATTCAAGCGACCGGCTCAAAATCGACAACAACATACGGCGTGAGCGTGGCTATGGAGCCTTTACTCCCCAGATCCATCGCGAAGCCAAGGAACCATAACATTTGTTGAGGGATCTGCTTTGGGTGACCCCTTGTTGGGCTTGGTGAGGATATTGACGCGACGCTGGGTTCAACTATGTTTGCCCCTTCAACCCCCTTGAAGGGGCCTTGGTCGCTCGCCTACGAGGAGGGTATGAGTGATCCCTTCAGGTGAATTGCAACCACACACACAGGGACACCAGAAATCTAGCGGGTTCTGTTTCAAAGGGGGGTATGAAAACAGAAGCCTTTGACCTGGACAGTATCCGACAGATGCCTGCATAGGTTTGCCCCAGAGCCAGCTGCCGTCTCGCGATGGTATGAGGTCCGCAAAAGTTGGAGCCCACAGAAGATAAAAACACGCAGGCATCCCTGAACCGAGCAGGTTGGCCCAAAACAAATTCAATATGCTTGCTTCTCACTTCCCATTTCGGAACAGCTTCAAACGTATCGGTACCCTCATGACGCTTGAACTGAGCATCACATGGTTCACCCGAATTCCGAATTCCGGTGCCGATACTCCATGTTTTTTTTGGTTTTCCTTTGGGCCTTCGCTTGGTGTTAATGCATGGACGCCTCCCTCCTTGCCGCACTGCGGCTGCTGGGTGAAACCACAGGCGTGTGCAGCTCAAATTGCCAGGTGTGAGCCTTGGCTTCAAGGGAACGCACAAGTGACTGCTATTTGTTCGGATCTTTAACCTTTTAGCATCTTGTAAGTGTGCCCGAATCGCCGCTTAGACCTTCGGTAGAATTTCGGTAGACCTTCGACCTTTGGGAAACCAATAACTTTTCCATTAAGCCTTTCACAGCTTAGACGTTTGCTCGGGGGGGGAGCTTTAAGTTTTTGCGCAGGCGGCAATACTTAGCCATCAAGCTAAGGCTGACCCAGGATCAATCACCCTAGTTGGAAGTCCCAGTTGCGGGGGACACCTTCACTGGAGGAACCGACCCCCGAGCAATTTGCGGACGCACCATTCTTAGCAGTGTGATGACCTTGGCTTCGGCCAGTCGGCCACGGTTAAACTTCTCTCCTTGCAATGCCCTAAGCATGCACCGAACCATAAGGATCAAAAGGGTGGCTAACAGATTCGTTTCACACGCACAACAAGCAGTGACACCCCGCCAAACAACCCAACAACTCACCTACACGTGGCTGAGAACGATCATGTGTCCCACCGCAGTGGGTGAGAATGGCAACCGGAGATGCCCTGTGGGCGGATGCGCAATGATGTGCAAACTCAGGCGCGCAGCTGGCTTTGGAGGGGGACGTGGGCGATACCTCCTTGTGGTCGCAGGGCGCAGCGCTGCGCCTGGGCTTGCAAGGTATGGCTTTGTTGTTTCAGGGGCCCCTTTTTAGCTTGGTGAAAGGGGGAACTTGTTGTTAGGCTGGTGTAAAGGGTTTTTCAGGTTTGTACAGTTGTGTATTTGTTGGGGAGCAGGTTGTAATTTGGTGCAAAGCAGAACCCCCAAAAAAACATTTCTCGGGGCGCTATGTTGACACAGACACGTATTCCAGACACGGATCAAAGGCTGACTGAACATACGAGCGTGAAGTTCTGGTGTGAACTGCTGTAGTTTTTTGGTTGGAACTAGTAAGCACTCATGCTTGTTGCAGGGATGGTGACCTCAGCTTACTCCATTCCCAACATTTCGGTGGCACCGCACCCTGTTGACAGGTTATCCCCAATAGGGTCTCACCGTCGTTGGGCACTTGGGGTGGTCAACCTCTCACCAGCCAACATGGCTTGGCGCCTTCCTTTCCTTTTGCCTTTTTAGAAGACTACTTCCATTTTGGAAAGACCTGTGCCCTTCTATGTTTGTTTCTTGGGTGGCTCCTGCGATTGGGGCAAACTCGACAGAAGAAGCAAACTGTTGGTTTCTCCGCTTTGTCTTGTGAGACCTTCTGTGAGAGGCCTTCATGTTCAGATGCATGCATTCAAGCAATTGGTATCGAACAAGCCCAAAACGGGCGAAACCACGCAGCCGTCTTCCAGGCTCATCTCTGATTGTCAAAGTCAGAAACCGGTTCATGTCCCTTATTCCCACCAATTGGCATGACTTTGAACCAGGCATGCCAGGTGTTCAAAGTTGATACGCCAAGGTCACGTTCCATGCCATGTAATCCATGTGTGTGTGTGTTTGTGGGAAGGAGTTTTGGGGAACCCGCTTGTTGGATTAAAGGGACACCGAAAGGAAAACCGAAGCCATTAGAGGGTCCCCGAAAAAGAGACACAGCCCTTTGAAGATGGCCGAGGTATTTCGACTTTGATGACCTCGACGATCAGGAGGTGCAAACGCCTCAGGCAGACCTGGGCCCAGCCTGTGGAATACCTGGAAGCTCCAGGCCAAAGCGGCCCGGCGGCATTGCAACCCACTCACCTCAGCTTAGGGAATCTGAAAAGTCTCAGTTAGGGAATTTTCTTGGCCCTTATGCCCAGGCTTTCCTGAGGCCATGTGGGACAGTTCAGGAAGCCTCGCTGCGAGACTGGCTCAAACCTGCACAGGGTGGAGGCTTGTGCCCTCCGTGAACTTTGCAACTTTGCGCGCCAGGTTTGCCGAGGGCTTGGTCGTGCTGCGCATTGTTTCGGCCCCTTGGCGCAAGCAAAACGCAAATACGGCCGCTCTACGACCCCTGCGAATGGGGATGTGGTTTGTTGAGGATGCCCTTGTTGGGATTTTGTGTCAAAGGGAAACAACTGGAGCTCACACTTTTTGCAGTTGGCTATATGGGCTGATCCCCACGAATTGGGCTTGTACTTGGGCCGCCCTCACCAAGAAAGCTGGATCTGCACAGGCCAGATTTTCCTAAAGGGTTCTACGTGTGTTGGTAGATGGGCAGACAACGAGCTCAGATGGGCCCTTGCTGGATGATGCTTTATTTCCACTTTATGAGTGGATTAAGCTGCCCAAATTTATCTCCTGAAAACTGGAGGTGCCAATTGACATACGAGACATGCACCCTCCCACCAGGCATGGAAGTCCCTTGAAAGACCGCTGTCCGGTTGGTAAGGGTCCTAGGTGGCGGAAGGTCCATCTCGTTGGCCCCATGAAAGTGCTCTAACTTGCGGTTTGAGGGAAGCAACCCCAAGCCTCAAAATGCTTTTGGTTGGCAGAAAGATGGTTTTGTCCCACAGGTTTGTCCATGTTAGCCTGAAGCCAACCAGCCCATGACAGTGCAGCCTGAGGCTCTCACCGGGGAGGAGCTGTGCACTTTACGCACGGCGCGGAGCACCCGGGTGCGCCACGTCAAGGAGAACTGGCAACCAAAGAGCGGCGTTGCTGAAACGCCCCGTGTGACCCCTTGCCACGGGCATGTGTCTCCTTTGGTCATGATTGCAGTCAGCTGTATGTTCTTGGAATATCATCATGTGTTTCTTCCAGACGTGTTTTCTCACGCGCGCCAACACAACGGCTGGACAAATCAGGGCTTTTCTGTGTCCCCTGTTGGCTGGTGAAGCGATGGGAGGAGCAGATCGAGCAAACGGAGGGGACCAACGCGAACACGCAGAAATTGCTACTTCCAGATGGCAAGGCGGCAGACTAATGGGGATTCCTCAGGCAATGTATGGAGGGCGCAATGCAGGACCCCTGAATTTGAGAGATTGCCAATTCCAAGGGCTGCATTCTTTAGCCGGGTGCACCCGTCCGATGAGGGACGCCAAGCCTAAGCCCTATGACTGGGATCGGGCGGCCGAAACAGGGCCTTGCGCAGGTGGCGCGGGATGACGACATGCTGGCAGAGATGTTGCCGGATGCGCGGCCTCAACTCATGCTGGTGCGATCTCAGCCAGTCTGGGCAGGCCTTCGCGGGAAACCGGGGGCCGATCCTGAATCCTGTTTCCCTGCAACTGCGTGTCTGCAAAGAGCACATCGGAAAAGGGGGGGTCCCCTTAAATGAGTTGATGTGCAAACATGCCCTTGTTACATTGTTTCCTTTCTTGGGGATCCGCTTGATTTCATTGGGAATTTCCGTGATCCCTGCGCCGAGCGCGGCTTCAAGTGTTTTTGTTTTTTTTTGTTTTTTTCTCGAGCGGTTTCAGGACTTCTGGAGCGGGTGGCGGCCGGGGAAGTTCAACTGCAAGATCTGGACGAAGGCGCGGAGCGTTGCATGTGCTTGGTACTTACCTGGAATCGGTCTTTCCAGTTGTTTTTGTTCACAGCCTGTCTGTATGGCAGCCAAAGGGCAGCCAAGAAATGGCGGTCAAAGAAAATTGATTGGGAGGTTGGAAAGCACGGCCGAACCTCAAGGCTCCCCAAGAGACTGTGAGGAACCTGCTCTCAACCCACCCTCCTCGGGATGAGGTTCTATAAGGGTTGTTTCCAAGGTGGGGACAACATCCACCCTTGGGTTGAAAGGTGAGTTTGCTTCAGTCCCATTTTATGTTTGAACAATCCAACCCCAAAGCAATCCCAATTATGCTCTTTTGACAGACCCTGGAGTTTGGACTCGGCTTTGGTGGAAAACCCCACTGGACATGAAAAGGGTACTGTAGTGAAAGAGAGCCAAAATCGGACGGACCAGCAGGGAGAAGGATATGGGGAATTCCGAAGAAACTCACATCCAACTTGATTTGGATTCATATTCTCCCCCACCCCCGGAAAAATCGATCACCAAATCTGGGGTCTCCTCCGGAAACTGCGATATGTTCTAGAGCAGGCAACATATTCGCATCAGACTTTGAGAAGTGGGTCCGGTGTTTACTGTAGCCTTTCCCTCCACCTGTTGCTGGGATAAGTGGGGCTAATCCTTTCACATCCATGGCTACAATCCTACTTACTAGGTTCGTGTCTCCCATAGGTGGTGGTTTAGATTGGTGGCTTCTGGTTTTGAGCCCTCTTTTGTAGAGGTTGAATGGGAAACCACGCCGAATCAACCTGCAGACCATTCCAAACCACGAAACAGAGAGCTTTGTACCTTCTAGTCCCCGGCGCACCTCCAAATCGCTCCAAACCAAGCCATTGTCTCCGTTCCCTTCCATTTTTAGTTCCCAAAAGGTGATCACCTTTTCTTTCTGGTTGCTTTTTGCTCAGGGAGTGAGGCAATGAGCCGGGAGGGGTATTCCCTCAAAGGAAACCACCAGTTGGATGGTTTATAAGGAAACCACCAGGAAACCACAAGAAACCGCATTCTCCTTGAGCACCCGGGCCCGTCCCCACCGAGAGCTGAGCGACCAAAAGGCGCCCGCAGCGACCGTGGCCTGGTGCTGGCGGCGGTGCGCGCGTCGCAGGGCCGGGCGCTGGAGCACGTCTTTCGGCCTTTGACCCGACGAGACCGGTGGACGCGTTTCCGGCCTTCCATCCTGAAATGCTGAAGTGGGGGAGGGGTGAGGGGACCCCTGGAATTCCATGTTTGGTTCCATTTCTCTCTTCAGTGTTTGATAGTGGTGACCTTGTTCAAGCCAAAATTAGATTTCTTGTTTTGGTGTTTTTAGCTATGTTTATATTTATGGTTCTTATTTGTAGTTGCTGGGGGTTGCCCGTGATTCTTGCAGAGAATTGTGAAACCCCCTGACCTCCAAACCTCCCAGCCACCAATTATGTGGTAGGGTAGGCATGGAACAACGATTTGTGCCTTTGTTTAGGGGACCCCTCCAAAATTCTGGGTTTCTTGTTGGTGTGCCTTAAAAAGGCACCAAAAACGGGTACTCTCAAAATGATTTGAAATTGGCTGGCTTTTTCAGTGTTTTCCCTTTTTCAGTGTGTGTCCTTCTTTTCAGCTGCTCGTTGTTCCCCTTCCTTTGTTCTTTTTGTTGGTCCAAACCCAGAATTCATCAACGGTTTGTATGAAATCATGGGTTCCCATCATGGCGACGGACACTGCCAACTTTCTGGTCTTTGCACTCTTGGTAAGCCATGTTAGTGCCACAAAGCAGGCAAACACAGCCCACACGGTTTGACCCCTCTCAGGAAATGAGTCGGCTGTCCTTGGATGTTTGGGATGTTTGGCCACCCAAGGCTCAGAAAGATAACGGGACAAGCCTCATCAAGCCTTACCAGTGGCAATCCATTGAATCAAGGGCCAGGCGTTGGGACAGGCTTGGAAGTCCCAAAGGTCCCTGCCCTCCCTCCCTACTGCGCTCTGCGCACCTTAAAGCGACATGAGCCTTTGAAACGCAACATGCTGAGACAAGGGCGCGTATTCTAGGGGACATCTTCTGGGTGATTTGGCCTTAGGCTTCAGGAGAGCGGCCCTACTTAAGGCAAGCCTGGGGTCAGGTGGTCAGGTGGTTGACGTTTGCAAAGGGACGGGCCTGTCATCCCAAAACCGCCGAAACCCGTTTGCTTCAAGGCCTGCTGGGCCCTTCGTAGCGACAAGGCCTGGGGTGCGGGGCGGGCCGGCAATCGCCCCATGTCCGATTCGGCGAGGTCCCGATAAATTTGCTGTTTTTGGGAGGCCGATACATTCATGGTTTCAAAGTTCTTCAGGGAAGTGTTGCAAGAAGTATGTACCTACTGGACAAGTATTGCAATGCATCGCTTGGGAAATGGCGTGCGCAAAAGACACGTTTGTCTCCTTTTCACTCAGACTTTAAGCGTGTTCTGTTCGGCCGGTTTGTGACGCGCCTGCATTCCAGGTGGTCAGATCAGAAGCGCCTTAGCGGCCAGTTGCCAGCCCACCGGCGACCTGAACGCCTGTTGTCCAAATTGCCACATGCAAACGGAAAGGACGTCTCTGTGCGGAGGAAGGGCTGTACTGGGACCAAATCACAGTTGTTGGTACTTTTGGGCTGTGAGCCAGCAAGGTTTTGCAGAACCCATGTGCTCTGAACACATTTGACTATGGGACAGAATCTGACCATGCATTTATTGGTTCACCATCTTTGCCCAAAGCGAGTCGACCGATGTCAACCGTGTTCAGTCACTTTTTAATCACGTCACAACACATGGTTGTTGGGAAATACTCTACATTTTCGCCTGTTGCGGTTTTCGCCTGTTGCGGTTTAGCGGTTGAACCCCCCACCGAACTGCGATAAGATTGAACATAAAATGCTCTTCAAGGTTGGTCGCCCGTTCTCGGTTTTTTTTGGGAGGCAGCTCGGGGCTTCGCCATGACATGGAGCTGATCGCCTTCCGCGGGCCTCCATCCCGCAGGACTTGGTCCTCGAGGCGGTGAAGCGCAACGGCCTGGCGCTGCGCCACGCGGCCTTGGCGCTGCGCGGCGAGCGCCGGGTTCCCAGCGAGCGCCGTCTTTTGGGGCGGCGGAGCTGCGCCCCTTTTCGTCCATGTGCTAAAGAATGGATATACAGATAGATATATGATATGTGTGTGTTGTATTTTCCCTTGTTGGTTTTAAAGGGAATCTTGCACCACTGGAATTATGACTACCTTTTTCCAGGGACCTGAAAGAAGCAAAATGCAAGTTTGGGTTTCGTTTCTCGGGAGAGGCTTAGTGGCTCACTCGGTGACTCCCTGAGTTCCGTTTCGGACTTGAGCGCCACTTCTTCGGTCACCATGTTACAATGTTCTGTAGTGAAAAGGCTGGCCACTTTTTCCGGCCAATCCGCTCAGTCGGAAGTGAGGGGCAGATTGCATTGAAGCTCATGTGCAGCAGGCTCCTAGTTTCTCATGTCTGGGGGCCTGCAGGGTTGAGGGACAACGCGGCCTTTGTATTCTTTACCAGGGAGTGAGGATGATTTTGGGTATCTTCTGAAGATTTGGCATCGACACAACATTCAAACATGGATTAAATGTTGTGGAGGCGAACCAAGATCAATATAGGCTCGTAGGCAGCATGGAGCACCAGCATAAGGGCCCGAGCGATCTGAATCCCAGCCCCAAGCAGGAATTGATAGCAGCCGGTTCCATTCGCTCACGGGTCTGTTTGTTTCTTAGGCGTTCGGAAGCAGACCTTCGACGGCAGCACGCGTTGGACATATTCACATGTTCTCTTTCTGTTTGCAGCGTCACCTTGAATGCTTGCTGGTTCTCAGAGAGAAATGTGGGAATGACCGCGAACGAACCCAGTTGAAACCTCCAGATGCAAGCTTTTGGTGATGCCCTCAGAGCCAGCTCCGGTTTGGGGGGGGGACAATCATGGCATCAGCCATTACATAGCCACTACCTCAAGGGTATACCTTCAGACAGACAACAATTCTGAAAATCACCCTACAAATGTCCATGGTTTGTGGAGGTTGGCTCTTATCTTTCAGGAAGAGGTTTTTGTGTCCTGGCGCTGGAGACCGTCCGTCACGTTGAGGAGACTTGGTGCTGTTGGCCATCCGAGACTGCCCACTGGCACTGGAGCATGCCAGCGACCTCCTCCGTAAGGACGGATGGATGAGCCAAGGGTTATTATTTCTTGGTTCCCATCATCGACGCCAGAAGACGTTCCGCTGGATTCGTATTTGTTTGGCAAAATTCTAGTTTTTTTTTTTTTTTTCTCCGACAGTTGCCTTCTGCGACACCAACCGTCAGGCCTTCCAAGTGGATAATTCTGCACATAGGGCGGCTCCCTGGTACAGAAGTGTGGGAGCCAACCCACCTGCATCCCACAACCCTGCTACTTTCTGTTTCTCCCTGCTGCGCCAAGCGGGTGCATTTCACAAGAGGAGTTTCTGCATTTCCGCTACAAAGGGGTTTCCCCTTACCCTTTCACTTCCACCACCAGAAGTCATAGAAATTCATCACTCGGAAAAGAAGGGAGCCAGCCATGGTTTCACAGTGGGTCAGCCCCAAGTCACTCAGGACCGGGACTTCATCGAAAAGGCGCTGCGGATCTCGCCCAAGGCCCATGTCCACTTGCCGACTCGAGCAAAACGAGCGCAACGGGCCCCATGGTTTTCTACTTGAAGGTTCCCTTTTCGGATTGAGAAGTTGGAGTATGTGTCATTTGCACATTTGGTTTTTCAGGGAATCTGTCACTACTGGAAATTTGCTTGGGTTTTGTTTCCATTGGACTTGATCAAATGGGTAGTCTGCCAAGATAGTTATTCTGTTTCGGGGGCTGGGCTCAACTTCCAAAGATGTAATCCGACCGCTGTCAACAATTTTGCATCAGTGAGCACCGGACCCCAAACGTTGTTTCCGAGGACCCCTCATTGCTGCAAGCTTAGGAAAGTTGACACGGCAGCAACCCTGTTAGGATGTACGTGCACCTTTTTTACGGGTATTGGCATGTTGCTTTATTGTTTGTTTATTGTTGTTTTCTGTTCATGTTTAGCGGGTGGCTGCAAAGAAGCAAGTCTTCCTGTTCGGCGCGAGTTCTTTGTGAAAGGGTGCGTTGCCTCTATCCAATGAAGCGGCTATGCTGCGTGCTGCATTATTCCGGGTAACCCGTACTTTGTAGTCTGGATTGGTGGTTTGGGGATTTAACCCCCTGGCATTGGTAGAGGGTAGATGGGAAACCACCACTAACCTCCAAACCACCAATTGCTGGAAGGTGCAGGTACGGTTGATGCTCTGAATCTCGCAGGGAACGTGGACAACCCGCGCAATTTGCCATGCCTTTTGGCTGGTGCAGAATTCTGTTGGTTGGCAATACCTCTTGAAGATGTCGTGCTTGACATTTCCTGGGCCAGGGCTTGTCTTTGAGACCCCTTTGCGCAGTGAACCGGGTCCCTGGCCATGTCCTCTTGAAGGTGGTCGTTTCAGGAACCGGACCTTTGAGGGGAAACTTGAAGGAGGCTGCTGAAATGTCTAAATGGCTTGAGGTGGTGTTTCTTGGCGGTGGTTGTCTCATGCTTCTGCTTGGCTCGTTGGTTGCTGGGGCCGAGACTAAAAACAGCTATTGCCGACCAGATTTGTTTAAAGTAGCCTTCGCCCCTAGGAAAACCCAAAGGAGGTTGAAGCAGTACTGCGGATCGACACAGTCACTAAGTCCGCCTTGCACCTCGGATTTGGATTTTTGCCCCATGGTTCTTGTTGAATGCATGGCAGCGCCATACCTGACCTCCATTCACCAATCCAAACCAGCAATTAGAGAGAAGATGGCTTGAGGTTCACTCTTTGTTTTTGGTGACCCAAGTCTCAGCATATGTTTTCGGTGAGGTTGGTTTGTCCCCACGGTTCAACTTTCAGGCGGCTGCGGGCATCAGCGAGGCGCGGAGGGCTTCCGCAGTGGTTTCGGCGGCCGCTTTCACGCCAGCCATTCTTGCCTTTTTTGCCCAGTAAGCAGGTGTGCTTGCGAGTTTGTGTGTTTGTTTCTGTGCCGTGTTTCTTTCCTTCTTTCTTTTTGCTTTGTTCTTCCGTTCACTGACCTTCTTAATGTACGTCCTTATTCAATTATGTGTTTTTGTATTTTACACTTGTTTGTTTAATGTTTTGTTGTTTGTGCTACTTCTTTTTGTATTTGTTGTGTTATTGTTGTATTTACTTCGTTCTTTATATATTTATTTCTTTCTTTATTTCTTTATTTCTTTCTTTCTTGCTTTCTTTATTTCTTTCTTTCTTTCGTTCGTTCTTTCTTTCTTGCTTTCTTTCTTTATTTCTTTATTTATTTCTTTCTTGCTTTCTTTCTTTATTTCTTTATTTATTTCTTTCTTTCTTTCTTTCTTTCTTTCTGTCTGTCCTTCTTTCCTTCTTTCCTTCTTTCCTTCTTTCCTTCTTTCCTTCTTTCTTTCTTTCTTTCTTTCTTTCGTTATTTCTTTATTGATTAATTGCTTTATTTCTTTATTTATTTCTTTCTTTCTGTCTTTCTTTCGTTCTTTCGTTCGTTCTTTATTTCTTTCTTTCGTTCTTTCCTTCTTTTTTCTTTCTTTCTTTTGTTATTTCTTTCTTTCTTTCTTTCGTGCTTTAGTTATTTCTTTCTTTCTTTCTTTCGTTCTTTCTTTATTTCTTTATTTCTTTCTTTCTTTCTTTCTTTCTTTCTTTCTTTCTTTCTTTCTGTCTGTCCTTCTTTCCTTCTTTCCTTCTTTCCTTCTTTCCTTCTTTCTTTCTTTCTTTCTTTCTTTCGTTATTTCTTTATTGATTAATTGATTTATTTCTTTCTTTCTTTCTTTCTTTCTGTCTTTCTTTCGTTCTTTCGTTCGTTCTTTATTTCTTTCTTTCTTTCTTTCCTTATTTTCTTATTTCCTTCTTTTTTCTTTCTTTCTTTTGTTCTTTCTTTCTTTCTTTCTTTCGTGCTTTAGTTATTTTTTTCTTTCTTTCTTTCTTTCTTTCTTTCTTTCTTTCTTTCTTTCTTTCTTTGTTTCCTTCTTTCTTTCTTTCTTTCTTTCTTTCTTTCTTTCGTTCGTTCGTTCTTTCGTTCTTGCGTTCTTTCGTTCTTTCGTTCTTTCTTTCTTTCTTTCTTCCTTCCTTTCTTTCTTCCTTTCTTTCTTCCTTTCTTCCTTTTTTCTTTCTTTCTTTCTTTCTGTCTTTCTTGCTTTCTTACGAACAAGTTCTGGGCACTAAATAGCCGAAAGGAACCTCCAAAGGACATCAAAGACTGTTTAGTTCGCACTCAGAGTTCCACGAAACTAGAGAGTGGAATCCTGGAAACTGCACGACCTCTCTGAAGCAGGGAGAGTAGACAGATCAATTCCCAGTGTGCTCCGGTGGGCGCGGCTGCCGTGCATCCTAAAGATCCCCGGACGGCTTCGGCTCCAGGTGCCCAGATTCAGGGGACGCGCGGGCTTAAGGAAAAGTCATTGGCGGAAGAAACCAAACGCTGCATGAAAAGCGTGGGTGAATACACCAGGCTGAAAGTAGATGTTGTAGTTCCCTTTTATGTGAGTAAGAAAAGCAGAATTGCCAAGCACAAAATGACGGAATTGTGCCATCTACGTTCACCCGACTGTATAGGAGCACTCCCTCAAAGCGATGCTGGATGCCCTGTTGCGAGACACCCAACCACACTTTGCTGGTTCTCAGGGAATGACGGAATGACCCCGAACAAACACAGTGGCTTCGTTGGGAGTTCCCTTGGGGTTCATTCCCACCACTGTCGATTCCTCAGTGACCAGCAAGACAGCAAACAAGACACAAACCCCTTTGCGCCGGTTGCTTCCTTCCTTCTGCCAGGAGCTTCTCAGAGATTTGAGCTTCGCCTTGGGCCTCGTGGGCTCCGTCCCTAGCGCCTTCCAACATCTGCAGGTCCTGCGCCGGGACCGAGCTGCTTGGCTCTCGGCTTCTGATTCAGAGCCGCCTCGCAAGGGGAGGCATTGCAACGGACGTTTTTCGGACAAGTTCACCCACTCCCAGCCCAAATGGATTCCGGGCAACTTACTCAGCTCACCGTTTCGGAGCTGTATATAATCAATTAGTATAGGACCTGTATATGCCCAGAACAATCTAGGTATTCTTTACATGGGACCTCATGCATTCCTATAGATATTGTCTTAAAAACGTCCTAATCCCACTTCCGCTTTGGACCCCCCGTCATCCGAGGCCTTCCTGCTGCAAGCGGTGAAGCGCAACGGCGAGGTCTTGCGCTACGCCGCGGGCTGGCACGGCGACCCCGAGGTGGCGCTTACAGCGATCCAAAAGGCGGGGTCCTCAGCCCAGGCGTTTTGGATTGCTCGACTTGGCTGACCTACTTGAAGTGGCCTTTCTGGGTTTTTCGCTGGTTCCCCTTGCGAAAAGTCGACCAATTCAGCTCAGAATGGAACAGCTTCAGCGAAAGTGAATGTCCATAGTACGCGGCAAAGAGGCACACAAGTGAATGTTTGTGAAGCTTCGGGGCGGAAAGTGGGTTCCTTTTCATTTCTCCCCCTTTAGACAGAATCGAACAATTGCTCAAAAGGGGCCCCGGAAAACCAGCACGCGGGTCCCCAACAACCTGCCTTTTTGCACTTGGGATTTTTTGGGGGACACGCTGTTGGGGGGGTGCTGGCAGGTTGCTTGCTTTCGGTTTCCCTTTGAACCATCCACACAAGATTGAATTCTTGGGACAATGCCACATCCACATCCCGAATTCCAACTCCTCCAACCCTTCGGTTGACTCGGCCAGACAAAGTCCGGAATTGGTTTCTACCAAACAATCTTACCAGAAAGCTTGCCGTGCAGAAAAGGAACCCCCCAAGCCGGTGACGCCCTCAACGCGAGTGAGGCGGCCAACGCGGTGCACTTTGTTGACGCCAACCTGCGGCAGCAGCCGCAGCCGCTCGGATCGGCTCAGAGGCTGGGCTCCACTAACCCCCAAACTGGGAGTGGGGGGGGGGTCCAAACATCGGCGTTTTTTTTTTTTTTTTTGGGGGGGGGGTTGTGTTTGGTTTGGTTGTTGTTTTGTTTTTTGTGGGGGAGGGGGGGGGGCAGTGGGGGGGCGGGTTGACTTTCCCTTTGGCTCAAAACCACAAAAATGGGATACCCTCTAAGAAAAGATGCACCCATACATGGCCCCATGTTCAACCCTTGTCGCTTTTCAACGAGGATCCCACTAAAGGCTCCAATGTTGACAGCCGAGGGAAACAGATTGCACAGAACCAGTATATGGCAGCTAGATAAAGGGGATATGCGGACGGCCAAGACTCGCAGGACGTCGATTTTGGGTGTTGCATTGCTTACTGGTTTTGCAAGTTGATCCGGCAGCCACAATCAATCCACTACTTCTTGTTGATTAGCGTGCGAGCCAGCGGTTTATGTCAAGGTCCCTGCATGGATGAATGCATTTACCCCTAGGTCATCCTTTTCACGATCTAGTTTGATGGTTCATTCGAGTGGCAGCGTTCCCATTCTTTTCGATCATTCTTTTCAGCAATCCACTACGAAGAAATAAACATGCAGCACAGGGCCGGCATTTGAAAAGAGCAATGGTTGCAACATGGTGAAACAAACGGGTGAGCAACACCCGACTTGGACGCTTTGTTTGTTCACAATTTCGTGATGTATGCAAGGGGCTTTGGTATTGAATTTGAAGGTAGGGAGCTTGTAGACGACTTCTGCACCGCTTCTCTTGTATTGATGGACAGGGTGGTGCCTGCATGGAACGCAGACCTGAAAAGGAAGGTTCTTTGGCCTTTCGAGGGAGTATATAAGCCTTGATTGAGGTCTGTGGGGCAGGACTATCCCACGGCACATGGGTTGGGCTTCTCAGAACGGCCTCCGGGTTTCATGCAGTCATCCGGACGTCAGTGTTGCTCCGAAAACCGAAAACCTTGGCACAAGGGGAGAAATTCAGCCCGAAGCCGAGGTTTGCAGAAACTATTTCAGGTAGCCCGGGCTGTTCAACATGGGTCTCCCCCGCCTCACGCACCTTTCGCCATTCGCCGAGGTTCGCGCATGCGGCGGTGACTGTGAACCCATGGGCCTTTGAGCAGCCACTCGCCTCTAAACGAGCTGGTTGGAAGGGAGCCAGACTCGGAGCCCGGAGCTACCAGGGTCCCTGTGAGGACATGATCGTAAGTTGTGGTTTTAGGGGAAACCAGCCCCCAAGACTAATTCTGAGAACCCTTCAACGTATTTCCATGGGTTGGTCCCAACCAAATGATCGGATATCCTTCCTTCATTGTATGCTTTGGTAGACTCCTTTGGTACCAGTTTTTGGCTGTGACGCGCTCGAGTTGGAAACCATGAACCCACACTTAACGGGTAGGTAAGCCATATGTCAGGGCTAAGGTCAGCGAATGTGTCAACCAACTTGCTGGTCTGGATTTGACCACAACCGGTACAAGGCCAGTGTCTGGTTCTGCCATGAAGTGTTTGCACATATGTATAGTATCATACGTGGTTATGCAGCAGCATAATTTTGGCGAATGCCAGTCTGAAGAGGTAATTATGTACTTTGAAGCCAGGCTTGAGCCCTGCAGCTGCAGACTTGTGCATGAATGGATCCCTGTGACAAACGAAACATTTGCAGAGGCCAAGGCCCTCAGTGGGTGTCAATTACATGGGCTTCTGAACAAGAACCCCCGACCACCGAGCGCTTACTATGATGTGGGTTGTTTACTTGGGGATCCATGTTTTATTCCGGGTTTCGGAGAACTTGCAACAGTTGCAGACTGATAAAGTTAACCCACAACTAGTTGCTAGCTACAAACCTCAACTACTATTGGTTCACACACGGGTTCAGCTAAGGTTGGGCTGGCACCACCGGGGCGATCTGCAACTGGCTCTTTTGGCCGCCCGCCTTCAGCCGGCGCTGATGACCTTTGCAGGCGAAAGGATCCGAGAGAAGGTAATGTACATCATCAAGAAGGAGCTGCCCCTTGGATCAAGAAGGGCCTGCTGGTATTAATTAGCCTCGGTTTTATCAAGATTCATGCCGGTTGGAAAGAACGACCCCTTTTTCTGGGCGTCAAAATCCTTTCCCTTTTTCCAGTCATGGAAGTGGAGCGGGGGCCTTGCCACAAAAATCATCCGGAGGAGCCCCAAGAAATGGATCGGATACTCGGGGCGGGCGGGCCGAGGTCCGAGCAGGTGGATGCGGCACCCAAGGGCTACGTGGAGGGCCCCGTGTGGTGGCTGCCGGAGACCTTCCGAAGAGAAAAAGGGGCAAAGCCGCGCCGGGCTTCGAACTCAGATTTTGCATTTTTGGGGGGTAGGCTACATATAATATGTTTGGCCTCTTTGTTTTCCCGTTCCCTAGCCGGAGGTGGTTGAACAAAGAAGGTTTCGCTAGACTACATACAATTTGTGGTGTACACGGTGTGCCCTGGAGAAGGGCCAAGAAAACGAGGGCGTTGCAAGCAGGTTTGGGTGTTCGGCCGTGCTTAAATCATGGCTTAAGCCTCCTCCCGTCTCAGCAACCTCTTGGTTTCCCTTGCAAGGGCCATGCTTCACCCATCTCACAGGGCACTGGTCCATGGCTTTTTGGGCTTTGCATGGCTTCCCTTCTCAGGGTTTCGCTGGCAAGTTCCAAGCCGGGACTTCGTTGGAAGCATTGGGTGCTTAAATTGCAAGCCAGGACCCCAGTCAGAATCTATGTCGGATGGGAGGAGGAGAAGACAAAACATGCACTCTGACACTTCCAAACGCGGAAAGCGGAAGACAATGGAATGGGTCGATTGATTTTCAACCAAGCTGATCTTCAAGGACGCTTGATGGGGAACTTGAAGAGATAGAGATTGCTCGACGCCTGAATTGGGGTTTGCTGCTTTGGGGGGAGGGGCTTTGGTTGCAAGTCATCACGCTGAGTAGTGATCGAACATCGCAGTCGCATGACCATTTGATTGGTTGCCCAACTCAAGTCCAGGCAAACTATAGCGATTTTTTTCAGTTTTAAAGGTCTCTTACTAAGGGCGTTCTTTTTTCCGGGCTGTGCAGCATGGCAATTTGTCGGAATACGTGTTTACTCCAGGCTGTTTGCTTCTGCGCGATATCTCAAATGCCCCCTTGAAAATTGCCGTTCCTAGATTTTCATAGCAGTGAGCCCAATAAGATATCCTATGGGTGCATGTAAGTCCAGAGCATGAAGGAGGTCCATTGACAAGGGCCCATTGGACATGTTCCGGACTGCTCTGGCAAGCTTGTCGATGTGGTACTCGCGGCCATGAAGTGCTCAGTCAGATTCGCAGATCGCACCCGGCAATCCGCACGGAACTACCACCAGCCAGCCAGACAACAGCCAGCACCCCCAGCCAGCCAGGCAGTCAGCCAAGAGACAGCCACCTGCTTCCCTCAGCCGAATGGGCAAAGCTGCTAAGGCCTAAACCCGGTTTCGTGCGATTTGCATTTTTTGGAGACGGTGAATTCAAGGACACCCGCTTTGGGCTCTATAAGTTGCGGAGTAGAGGTGTCATGGGCTGTTTGGTTGAAACTAGATGGCTGTCCGTTTGGTTCTGGTCATTTGCCAGCGCTTTTTGGAAACGACGTCTAGGCATCCAACGATTCCCCTGTGGTCCGTGTTTTTTCTCTCAGAAATCCATGTCTTGTCCCACAACAGAACATGCGCAACCACTGTCACTCCGGCAGGTACCCCCATTGAGGGTTTTGCCGGAGACTACCTCTGGGAAAATCCAGGGGGGCGGGTCCTTTTTTCAACTGTCTTCCCTGACAGATCGGCCAAAAGCATTCCGCTCCGTTCCCTCGGCGCCTTCAATCTTTTGAGAGGTCGATCAAGGGATCGCCGCCCGAGGATTCGACTGTTATGTCTTTTTCCGGCCCATTTTGCATGCAGTTTCCCTCCTTGAAGACTTGTCCAAAGCTGACTCAAGCTTTTGAACCTTTAGCTCAGTTGCCCAAATTTGCCGACCTTGTGACCTTCTGGTGCTGTAGGTTCTTTTCAGGAAGCCATCGAAAAGTCAGGGGAAACAGATCCGGTTTTCGAAAAGGATGGTTGACAAGAGTGGACAAGGAATCAACCCCCAGAGCCCTAGAGCCGTCGTCACTTCGCCGATACCTGGAGCCCTGGGAGTTGGCTGTGCCAGGCTGAGCCCAAAAAGGAGCCCGAGAAGAAGGCTTTGGGGGGAGCAAGCGGAGTGCGAGAGACTGAGTCTGATGTTGATAGGTACCAAGAGAGTGTTGGGAACCCAAGTTTGGCTCATTCTCCATTATTATCGTCTCATCTTCTGTTGGGAAATCACGCGTTCCCTTCAAATGTTGGCACATCGTTTGTAAAGGATCCCTTCCTGAACAGAATGGGTAGGGTACGGCTTGAATGCTCAATCAACCGCGTGCTGTGCCTTTTTGAAGTGGGCGGGCAGCTGGAAGGATTCTCGAAAATAACCCATTTTAGTGAACCTAGCGAGCAGGTCGCAGCTATAGTTGTAACGTGGTTGATTTATAGGGGGTGTTTACTTTTGGTGGAAAACACACCTCTATGAATCTGCCAAGTTGGATCCGGGCCAACATAATTGGAGGTTGAGAATGGTGCTAAGCACGGCAGCTGGGATTTGAAACCCTATAACCATGCTTACAACCAAGTTACTGAGTGGTTCGAACATCCTAGTTTGGAAAACGTAGTAAGAAACCCGCAAGTGTCTAAGAAACCAGCTGCAGGAAATTTTACAGTACACCTGTGGTTTTGGTGGGTATTTGGCTAACTTGCTGTAGAATTTCCCGTAGCCGGCCCTTTGGGACATCATTTCAGGCTTGGATCCATGTCCACCAACCACTTTGAAGGTGGTTTTCCCAATCAATCGCCGGATGCACGTCTAAAAGTTATCAGCGGCATTGAGACGCCGAGCCATAGGCACTCCCCCGTTCAACGTGGAGCTCAGAAGGCCCAAAAGGAGTTTCCTCTAAAGTGGCTTGCGTGGTTCCATCTTAGGCGGAGTGAGAAAATGAATTGACGTCTTCAGTTTGTGAGAGCTTCGTGTTGCAACTTGTTCCCTTACATACTCTTTCTTGGGTCGGCCACCCCAAGGCATCATCACTGTCAGCCAGGAAGCCTACGCCCCCATGGCAACATAGCAGGTTGTTGGTGTGACGGAATGGACCCGTTGAAAACAAAATGGGCCTGTCTTTTTGAGAGTACCCGTTTTGGTGGGCTTTCAATGGAAACCAACAGGAAAACCGCAATTTTGAGGGCGTCCCCTAGCAAAAAGCGCACCCAAATAGCTGTTCCATACCTACTAAACTGCAACAGGTCCAACGACCTTTTGCTCGCTCGAGCGAAAGCCCCTGGCAAGGCCGCGGAGAAGAATGTCAAGGCAGAGCCCAAGGCCGCGCCAAAGGCGAGGTCGGGGTTGCCGGGCTGTTGGCTGTTGTCTGTGCATGTGTGAAAAAAAAATAAGGGGGTCCGAAAAACGCGGTATCCCTTCGGGGTTGGCTTTCTAGCAACCTAAAAAGGATATCCTCAAAAACACACACACCGCAAACCCACTTGGAACAAATTGTTGGACGTTTACGCTTGTGTGTAGACGTTTAAGCTTGTGTGTGGTGGAAAAGCATTTCCACTTGGAAAGAAAGACGTGAATCGAGTTTTTGGGCAAGTGGCAATAGCCGTAAAGTTGAAGATCTGCCTGTCTTATCTCAGGGCTGGCAAGCTCGTCTTGTTGTGCTCAGGCTTGTAAATATCAAAGGCTAGGAATGGATGTAGACTCTGATTGGCTCACTGGAGGTCAAAAGCGGTCGACGCGGGCAATACGTAGTTGACTAACCTCCCTGACCATACCGCAGACTCCCAGTAGTGTCCCTCTCTCCTTTTTTTGGAGGGGGTCTCTTTAAAATCAAAAGCCGACAAGTTCCCCCATGACCATTGGGTGTCTGGAACACAGGTTGCTTTCTTTCGGGCTCTCACTTAGATTAAGCCCAAACCCACAACCCCTCACACACACACAGAAACACCCCCGCTTAGGGGAAGACCAAGCCATTGGCAAAAGCTAGAGATGTGCTTGGGGGGTGGTGGGAGGAAAGTTTATCTTGCTTAGGGTTTGGTGTGAAAGTGGGGGCTGGTAAATGCAGATGTGTCGAAGCAGCCAAACGATGTGTGTAGTTGTAACTTTGTGTGTTCGAAATCCTTTTGAAGCCGTCCTTTCATGAGGTCCCTGATCAAAGATAGCATGGGATGTAGTTGTTCTGGTGGCTCTTTGGCTCACTTTTCAGCCGTTTGTTTTTTGCGCTTGCTTTCGGAAGGCATTGCGACCCCCCCCACCCAAGGTCCGGACTACCTACTCACCCAAACGAGTTCGCTAACCCTGATGGGTGATAAGGCACCCCACTTGGACCCTCGCATCAGCCCAGGGTTTGTCGTTTTTGGAGATTGCGAGGGAACAACCGCATAGCTCTCCAGGGTTCAACTTGATTTCCTCCTGACCGTCTCGAAGGAACGTCGCAGTTGCAGCCGGTCTGAAATAGATTCAACAATCAGTAGCAAGAAGCCAAATATGGACACGCACACCATGTTCGAAATATTGATTGTCATCAAGCATTGTACGTTCTGATGCTTTTCTGCTACTTATCATATTTGACTTTCCCCTAGTTACAGACAAGAACATGGGTTGCCCAACAACCCGAGCAATTTGAAGAGAAATCTCCTCTCGGGAAACGGAGCCCGGTAGAGCGAGGGAGTCCCATTTCATCACTGGGCTTAGCCCAAACGCGGCAAGATGCAGAGGGCCGACCCACTCTCTTTTTTTTTGATTTCTCACCTCCGATGTTTGCCGTTTGGGCCCAGCGCCCTTGGACTTTGAGACGTGCAGAGTTTACATCATTTGAGCCGAAGAAGAAAGCCCGCTGTATGCGTCAATGTAAGGCATGGTCCCAGTTGTTTTGGACGTATCAAATCAGCTGCACCGCCGCTTGTAATTTGAAGGGCAGGAGTGTGTTGCAGGAGCGGCCGCGCAAGTCAAATTTTGGATTTATGACGTATCCCTCGCTAAAGTTCGAGCCTTTTGTAGCAAGGGATCAACGAACCACTACTGTGCTGTGTTCCTGCACCACCCAAGAAACCAAGCAATGTTTTTTCCCCGCAAAATACCCCCGAAGAATGGTTTCAACCATAGTGTCCAAGCGGTGCGACATGGATTTCGTCCATCCCCACAAAATCAAAGGCAGATTGGGCAGGGCCCAACATAAAACAGAAAGGAGCGAATCTCGGTTTAAAAAGCCGCGGCAGGAGGCCAAAGAGCCAGAAGATCCAAAGGCAAAGCTGCAGCGGGCCCGAGGTTTTCACGATTCACGGCGATTTCTATGGGGTTTCAATCGAAGAAAGCACCTCACATGCGGTTGGTGGACATGAATAAGCGTGCCTACGTTAACCAAAGGTTCCCCCATTAAAAACCGAATCACCCCCCCCCCCCCCCCCCAAGAAGCTGGGAACAGGCATGTTTCAGCTCCACACCTCGCGACATGCTCACACCAGTTGCCACCCCACAGCACTCCAGCCAGACACGAACTCTGGGTCACTTGGCTAAAAGGCTAAATGTGCTGTTCTCAAAGTGTCCTGGGAGAGAGGGAGAAAAAACAAGAGGCACGTTGGGCTTGTGCAGGGTGAAAGGGACCCCGGCAGCCAATGAGGGCCCTCAAAAGCAACCGCTTGGGACCAACATGGGGCCCAAACAGCATCTAGAAGCTAGCTTGAACGGAATGGACAGGGCCCCTGTCGAATTCTCTCTGATTGGCAAACGGACACTCTGCAAAATGACAAATGATTGTGGTCGATTTACACTTGGCATGATTTGATCAAGGGAGCCGCCATAGATGTTGTTGCTGTCGGTGCTTTTTTTGGGTGAAAAGCTAGGGCAGGATCGATTACTTGGGTTAGAATCTGCAGCCGCCTTGGGACGTTTGGACGTGAGAGCCCGTGAAGGGAATATATGGGGTTACCCCTACAACCAGAACATGGGATTCTAAAGCGACAACCTGGGTTCTGGTGGGGTTCGTTAGGTTCCATCCCTGTATTTGGCATGGACGTGTGACTGGCGGCAAGCCAATGAATCAACCTACCCCCGCTCTGCATGGTCAACGTATTTTTTCGGTGGAGCTTTTGTCACTTTGGGGCCCTGACATTGCGCGGCCCTGGCGATTGTTGCGCTCATCACGGTGGAAATCGAGTCTTAGGGCCCTGTTCTGCGACTTCCGTTGAAAGCGATGCAGTAGTTATAGGGATAGCCCATGTCGGTATCCCTGAAAGGCGTGCTTTCCAAAGCCCTGACGAACGTCTCAAGGTTAGAAGAAGCAAAACAGAAGTGCGCAGATGACGAGCTCGGCTCTCGGATTTGTCGGTTGAGGGCAGGATGAAGAGGGAATATCGGACACCTCTCTCTCCCTGCCCCTGCCCTGCCAGAAAGGCTCTTAGAACCTCTAAGGATCCAAGAACCGCTGAAGGACAGACAGGACAGGACGAGCCTCAGTTGTTTTTTTTTCAAAACATTGAGCGGATGTGACCTTGTAGGTGTTTCCGTCCCGAATCCAAGATTTGCCATCCCAAAAGGTCAACCTTTCGTTCCATCGCTTTTCACTACGCGGGTTGACGGGCTGTTCATTGAGGGTGAGCGATCAGAGAAGCGGGGACATTGGGCGGAGTGGCAGCCACTTGCAAGCCTATCTCAAAGAAATGCGTTGTTTCGCCCTTCGGGTTTTCCATTCGCTGGCTGTAGGCGGTTGATCCGCATTGAAGGGAGCAAGGGCGATGCTGAACAAAGGACTGGGTGCCCATTTCGGAAGGCTTCTTCGGGGGAGAACTTGTGTTCCCCCAAGACCATCAGCTTGGTTCAGTTTTTGTCGGCATCTCCTTTCAGTGGGTCAACTGAGACTTTCAGACGGAAGGACTGAGAATGACTGAGATATGTTTCACCAAGTTTCCCTGACCTGTTCAGTTGCCAGACTTCACTTCTTCCGTTCTTTCCCCAAGAAGGTCCGGGCCTCCGAACAACTCGTCGGACCCGGCTCTGTGCGGCCGAAGTTCTCGAGGCGAGATGAGTCTGCACGCGTGGAGCTGCCGGATGCCTATGCAAAGACCTCCGTTTTTCGCCCGCCCCGCAATCACTGCCTTGAGGAAGGCTAAAATAGACAAACAACTGGAGGCGCACGCGCTGGCACGTTTTCCCGCGGGTGTGCGTTTGTGTGAGCGAGAGAGAATGTGTTGTCCCTAGCAGCTTTCTGTGGATGCCTGAAAATTTCACTACACCAACCATACTCAACCACAACGCCATGGCGAAAAACACGTTTAACTTTCAGGGTTTCAATGTTCGCTTGCTTGCAATACTTTGGGGATCCATATAGCCTGCCCGAAACCTCCAACCTCACATCCAGTGAAGGGATATGGCCGGAAGCCACGGGAAACCAAAGGGAGAACCATTTGGGGGGCTTCGGGGGTCCAAGTCCCTATGTTGACACACGTTCAACTTGGTGTCCATTTGGGGTGTTCCTGGATTTCTTGCGGTGATATTCTTTTCTTTGTTTTCCGGATTCCCGCCCCAAATGGCTTCATCCCCAAAGGGTGCAGTGAGAGGTTGGGATCTGAGGCGGAAAAAGAACCGAGAGGCCAAGGCCGAGTCGGGCTCAAACCTTTGGGGGCTTGGCACAGTGGCTGTCTCCAAACGCATCTTTTCTATTCCAGACCAAATGTGGAGATTCTGAAAGTATGATGTTCCGTGTTCTCCAGTGCCTTGTTGTTGTTTTTTTGGGGGGGGGCCCTCCAGAGTCTACCAGCTGAAAGGCCCCCAAGCTGCTTTAGCTAGGAACTGCCCCCGAGGTGCGCTTCTTTTCCCACCACGAAGGGAGGATTTATGTCCTTTTTTTAAGCTTCATCTGTGAAGGGTGAGCCAAACTCCTTTGATCTGCTTTTTCGGGGTGTCCCCAGCCGAATCGGCAGGGCTGGCCGCTGGAATTCCAGTCACCCAAGTTGAGTTGGGGGACTGCCATTTGAAATCAGGGCGTTTCACCTTTATCCCAAACCCCTCGGTCTCGCCATAGGCTTAGCGATTGCATGAGCCGATGCCGCGTTCGCAAGCGCTTCGCAAGGACGCAAATTGCCCTGTTAGAACTGCGTAACGAAACACGCTAGCGGGTCTCAGATGTGTGGTTGCCTTTTTTGTGTGGCAGGCGTGGTGGCATGGTCCATGCTCACATTTGTTTTCACTATAGTGTCATAACAAGAAGGCCTGCAAGTGCAAAAATTGACACCCCGCTGTGGTCTGTTACTTGGAGGATTCTTGGGCAGAAGGGTATAACCATTTGTTGCGACCAAAGGCTACGCTTTATCCTGGTGGTGCATTGGTGGCCTCGGGGACGTTTAATTTAAAGTGAGCTGGTTGGAACCTGGGGCCGCCGCAAGGTGTCCGTGTAAGAAAGGGGGGCGCCCTTGGGTGATTCTCTCACTGGGTTAGAAATGGCCAGCTTTTGCTTCATGCACTTTCCCCTGTGGGCACAGCGGGACATGGGGAGAGGGGCTTCGGGCTCCACCCCCACATTTTTGGGTGTGAAAGATATGAGCCGATGGTCCATTGGATTGGGGTCGTGGGGGCTCACAAGCCCTATTTTTCTCATGTCCGCTTTGGATAGCCAATTGAAATACATGATGGTTGACCAAGGCCCCGAGATTGAGGAGATGCGAAATATCGAATCCAGCTGCCTCATCTCGGCTAAAATGGTCCTAAAGGACCACTTGGGCACTCATTCTCTCACTCCCTGACTTCCTACTGTAGACTTCAAGCTTTCGGGAAAACCACTTTACGGGCACAAGGAGATCGTGCGAAGGGGATGTCACTATCCGATCGAGCTCACCGGGGGATGAAACAAGCTCACCATGTCCATGTCTTATTTCCAGGTTTTGGGTTTTTTGTCCCTCAACTTGGGCAACTCGTTTTGAACAAGTGTTTCCAATCCTCTTGCCCAGGGGCCAATCGCCACCAAAAAGCCGTTTGTAGATGTTGAAAAACCACTCCCAAAGATCCAAACTCAGAACGTCTTTGGGCCCCATGCAGATCGTATCGCAGGCCGCTGGCGCTCAGCTCACGGGGCGACTGGGCTGAGTTGGGTCCCGGGGGGCCAGGTGCTTCGTGACGCATGCGACATGGCACGGATCCACGTGAACTCCCCGGGTTCCTGGACTGAACATGACTGTTGGGGACGACCGGTTTAGTGGGAAACAGCATGCTGAGACTTGGCCCTGTTACTTCAGAAGGTGAACTAATGGGGGCCCCCCTACGCACCAGAATGGCTCCATCACCCTTCTGGGATCCTCTTCCAAGATCCTTCTTGCGTTATGAGGGGCCTGAGGTGTTTTCGCCTAACGTCGCCTAACGCATGGGCGGACTTTGTCACCTTTGTCACCTTTGTCGCTAGGTTGTGGCTCTTGTGCAGGTTTAACGAGTTCATCGGTTCCCGGGCAGCTTGCCACTCAGGATGAAGCTGCCTTACCCTACGAAAAACACAGGTTTCCACCTCGTCAGGTGCCCAGGTGCCCAAAGCTTTGTTCTGCGTGTTGGGACATGCTCCGCAGCGACTGGCAAGGTGCCCTTTGCCCACATGCGCTGGTGTCACTGACTTGTAGCAAGGGGCATGGGGCACAACTCCCACTCCACATCATTCCAGATCCATTCTGGGCCGCTTGCAATGCATGTTCATCCTTCCCATGGTTCCCTTCATGAATAAAGTGTGTGTTTTTCAGTCCGGGGGAGGTGCGCCCCTGACGTGCACCCAGGGTGGGGGGGTTTTGGTTCCAAGGGACTGGACATCTTCCAGCAGATAGCTCCCACAAGCGCCAGGAGCAGAGATAAGAGCATCAACCGAGTGACGCGCTTCCAAAATAGGCCCGGCTGATCCGCTGTGACCCGCGAGCCACGCGTTTTGTTGTGACCATGGCTCATACGACTTCCTGCACCCCCCCTGAGGCGTCAGAAGCACTGCGATAGTGCGGAAGAGTTGGGGGGGGGGTGCAGGCAAGGGATGCAGATACCTTAGTTGTCCAAAGCCGCGGCTTGTTTCTTGGAGCAAACGCGCACACACACACACACCTTCCCACACTATTTGGGCGACGCTGGCAGGTCATGAGTGTCCTTATGCGTCCTTGCGCTTGGTTGAAGCAATAATTACCTTTTGGGATTTGTCTGTTTTGAAGCTGCAAAATGCCCAAGGCAATGCTTGGGTCTGGAGGAATGAAGTTTGAATCTTGCTAGCCTGGGTTTTTGAACTGCGGGCCGAAGGTTTCGTCTTTCTTTCAAAGCTCGGTGCATGGGTTGTCGACCCCGGATGTTTCAAGGTTCAACCTTGTTTGTGGGCTTTCTGGAAAAAGAAATTTGGGGCGGGGTTGAAGGGATTGGCTGGTGGGTGAACTATCTTGCAGCCAGCTGGGACCTTCCACTCGCAGGGACTCAAATCAAGGTCCAGGGCCTCCTGCAATCCAAAACGATTTTATTGTTTAGTGTTGACTAAATATATAGAAGTGTGAAAAATATTATTGTTTGTGTGGTCCGGGGCCTCCTGCAATCCAAAACAATTTTATTGTTTAGTGTTGACTAAATATATAGAAGTGTGAAAAATATTATTGTTTGTGTGGTCCGGGGCCTCCTGCAATCCAAAACGATTTTATTGTTTAGTGTTGACTAAATATATAGAAGTGTAAAAATATTATTGTTTGTGTGGTCCGGGGCCTCCTGCAATCCAAAACGATTTTATTGTTTAGTGTTGACTAAATATATCGAAGTGTAAAAAATATTATTGTTTGTGTGGTCCGGGGCCTCCTGCAATCCAAAACGGTTTTATTGTTTAGTGTTGACTAAATATATCGAAGTGTAAAAAATATTGTTTGTGTGGTCCGGGGCCTCCTGCAATCCAAAACGATTTTATTGTTTAGTGTTGACTAAATATATCGAAGTGTAAAAAATATTATTGTTTGTGTGGTCCGGGGCCTCCTGCAATCCAAAACGATTTTATTGTTTAGTGTTGACTAAATATATCGAAGTGTAAAAAATATTGTTTGTGTGGTCCGGGGCCTCCTGCAATCCAAAACGATTTTATTGTTTAGTGTTGACTAAATATATCGAAGTGTAAAAAATATTATTGTTTGTGTGGTCCGGGGCCTCCTGCAATCCAAAACGATTTTATTGTTTAGTGTTGACTAAATATATCGAAGTGTAAAAAATATTATTGTTTGTGTGGTCCGGGGCCTCCTGCAATCCAAAACGATTTTATTGTTTAGTGTTGACTAAATATATCGAAGTGTAAAAAATATTATTGTTTGTGTGGTCCGGGGCCTCCTGCAATCCAAAACGATTTTATTGTTTAGTGTTGACTAAATATATCGAAGTGTAAAAAATATTATTGTTTGTGTGGTCCGGGGCCTCCTGCAATCCAAAACGATTTTATTGTTTAGTGTTGACTAAATATATCGAAGTGTAAAAAATATTATTGTTTGTGTGGTCCGGGGCCTCCTGCAATCCAAAACGATTTTATTGTTTAGTGTTGACTAAATATATCGAAGTGTAAAAAATATTGTTTGTGTGGTCCGGGGCCTCCTGCAATCCAAAACGATTTTATTGTTTAGTGTTGACTAAATATATCGAAGTGTAAAAAATATTATTGTTTGTGTGGTCCGGGGCCTCCTGCAATCCAAAACGATTTTATTGTTTAGTGTTGACTAAATATATCGAAGTGTAAAAAATATTGTTTGTGTGGTCCGGGGCCTCCTGCAATCCAAAACGATTTTATTGTTTAGTGTTGACTAAATATATCGAAGTGTAAAAAATATTATTGTTTGTGTGGTCCGGGGCCTCCTGCAATCCAAAACGATTTTATTGTTTAGTGTTGACTAAATATATCGAAGTGTAAAAAATATTGTTTGTGTGGTCCGGGGCCTCCTGCAATCCAAAACGATTTTATTGTTTAGTGTTGACTAAATATATCGAAGTGTAAAAAATATTATTGTTTGTGTGGTCCGGGGCCTCCTGCAATCCAAAACGATTTTATTGTTTAGTGTTGACTAAATATATCGAAGTGTAAAAAATATTATTGTTTGTGTGGTCCGGGGCCTCCTGCAATCCAAAACGATTTTATTGTTTAGTGTTGACTAAATATATCGAAGTGTAAAAAATATTATTGTTTGTGTGGTCCGGGGCCTCCTGCAATCCAAAACGATTTTATTGTTTAGTGTTGACTAAATATATCGAAGTGTAAACAATATTATTGTTTGTGTGCCCCAGATGCCAAACAGTGGCTGCAGGTGACCTCGCTCAAAAGAATCACCTAAAAAGCACGCCCGGAAATTCAATCATCGGGAAGCCCTTTCCCGGAACTTCAGTGGGTTGCTTCCTATTGCCCTTTGTTTTATGGAGGGCCCCCCTGAAACAAGCAACCAAACAGGTGGAGGAGAGGGGCCCCCAATTTTCCTTGTCCTTTCCAGCTGCTCGAGAGCATGTCTTTGTATAGAACTTGATTGGACCTGGTTTAGCCTTTTAGCCGTGGTACTTCGGCCCTTGCAAGTGCAATAACATCACAATGCCAGTTGCAGCTATCAGAGGTCGCCACGTTACCACTGTCCATGTTGAGTAAAGAAAGTGGCCCTTCAAGATTCTTGGCGGGTTTCCACGCTTCCGGGAAACTTGTTACACGAGCACAGCCATGATGCAGTCGTCCTCAAAGTTTTGGAGTGTGTTTTTTTCCGGCTTGGGATTCATAGTATGTTGAGACATTGGTAGGTATGAGCTTCTCAACAAAATGCTCAAAAGCCGACGCACATTTGCCCGTCCCCCCAACCCCCCCGCGCAGGCTGAAGCTGTTCAAAGGCGACAGCGAGATTGATGCCGTCATGAAAGACATTGTCGGGAACCTCAGGTTTCACCTTCTAGAATATCTGAGTCTAAAACCGTTTCATTCTTTGGGCAGGCCACATGTGCAACGGAATCTGAAGAGATATGTTCTGTGTTCTTCAGATGCGAGCCAAGATGCGTTTGGAGCTAGGTACGCTTTAAACTTTGGTGTGCATGGCCCGCCTGTGTGGTGTTTGTAGCGGGTTAGGCTTCACAATCAAGTGCCCAAGACAGCTTGTTTGCCCCATGTCCACTGAGGTTTGTGTTTTTCAATTGCTTGACATGCGATCCTTTATGTTTCCCTGGCTGCGAGAATTCTGCCTCCCCAATCTGGACAATTGCTACCCTGCATCTGCCATTTCCTTCGGGAGCCGCTTCAAAGTGAGCAAGTAGTCATGGGGCTGGCCCAGGACGGCGTGGATGCCTCCAAATACGTTGTGGTCGGAAGCCCAGCCGAGCGGTGACGCCTCGCGGTTCCTTGAGGGCTTCTTCCTGTTGGGTTGTCCTTTCAACCAGCTACTCAAAGATTGTTGCCTTACCTTGTTTGCCTTTTCCCCTCCGAGTGTCCTCAATTGTCCCGTTTGAAGAAGCGCACACTTCACTCGCCAAAGTTGGTCATGGTTGGCTACATGATGAAATCCTAAAACGGCTCGGAGACGTGTCCAAGAAACTATGGAATCCTTCCGGGGAAAAGTTACAAGGGGGGTGGTTTGAGAGCCCTGGTGGTCCTTCCACAGGGCTCCCTTGGGGCACCTCTTGGAGCCACTGCGCTCGCAGTGCACAGCTCTTGATGAACCTCGGACGAGGCGTGTTGCCTTTTGTCCCCCTGAAAGGGATCCTGCCAAAATGGCAACCGCACCTGTCCAGCACTTGCTTTAAACAATGGCCCCAGCAAATTAAGCAGCTGGTTTTTCCAATTCGAGCCGCCCGGTAGGCACCGTATATTTTTGTTCGAGCCCTTGGTGTGTACACGCGTCCTACTTCAGGATACAACAGGGCTTGCTTTCGGGAAGGCGGGCCCCCGTGTCCCGAAAGCAAGCCCCGGGAAGGGGTGCCAGTCCAAAAGTCCGGCACGTTGAGCAGGTCCCGCCAGGGGGAGATGACAGGATCCCTCAGATTTATCCTTTTGTTTGGAAGGATCAATCTTTTGCCTGCCACGACTCACACTTCCAGAAGCATTGGTTCATGTGGCGTTTCTGTTGAGCAGAAAAGTGCAGATGTCCTGAGCCATACTGGATGGTTTCCAGACATTTGTGCAGATACAATGATTTGGAGCCATAGGTGGGCTGGCCGTTTTTTTTCTTTTTCTTTTTCCTTTTTTTTCTCGGTTGAGCAAGCACATGCTTGTAGTACGCGGCCCCGGAATGCGGCGAATCCCGCTGTCAAAGGGGTTCATTGGTACTCTCTATGTCAATCTAAATCCCTCGTTGTTTAGCGGGTAGGCGCTAGACAAGGCAACCAACCCACAAAAAAAAAATGTTCCGATTCGCTTTTTCTTTCGGGTCACAGGGCAGGCGTCTGGGACATGGAAGCTTCCAGTCATTTGGATGTTTCTCCAAATAGGGTGCCCCTGACACGGCTCGTTGCCTGTTTTTGAAACTATCCAGAGGGTCCACCATTTTGAGAAGCTATCATCTAACAATTTGAAGGAACGCGCCTTCAGAGCACCATCCCAATTGACGTGGTCTGGTGTCCCTAGAAAAACCCCACCCCATGGATACCGAGCCTCAAGAAAAGCTGAAAGCAAAGACACCCATAGACCTGCAGCGAAACCACGAAGCGCCAATCCAAGCAATTCGCGGGGCGCGGAGCAATGACCCCCCCCTGCCGGGTGCAGCCCAATGGACCTTGTCCCCCCATTGATTGGCCAGGAGTTGGCGGAGTGCCTGCTGGAAGCGGCGGGAAACACCTTGAAGCTCAAGGACATCCGTTGAAAAGACACTTGGGCGCATGGCCTTTTCACCGTGGATCCTTTTGGAGGGTTTTTAAGCATTTCCAAATGGGCCATCTTGATATATCTTGATGTCATGTGTGGAAAGACAGCCCCCCCCCGCCAAGAGAAACAACGCACAGAAACACATGGCAGGTGTTTCTTTTTGGATTCCCTTTAAACCATGCAGAACATGGGTACCTTCAACAAAAAGGGACGCACATGTGAGCTTTGGCAGGGTCCCCAAATTTCCCCTTGTTTGGACACTCGCACGTTGCATGTCCACAGAGGCCCACCAGCGAATCGCAACAATCACGGGTTGGGCCCAGCCCCTTGTTTAAACGGTCACTGATTCAATAACATCCACGGGTGCACATTTGCCGGGGATGCGATTTGGACGAGAGTCAAAAGATGATGGGAAAGCCACATCTCCAACTGCGGGAAACATGCCTTTGGTTTTAACACCGTTGTTTAAATGACCAGGTGCTCCTTTCACACTGGCGGCATGTTCAATCACGCCCAATCCTGGGCACTCAAAAGACACCGTGGCATAGCACCCTTGCATGACGACTTTACCATGGGACTTCCCTTTGCTTTTCACAGAAACTGGCGATCCAAGAAATGACTTTCCGACCACAACCCAGCCCCCTTGAAAGAATTTCAATTTGAATCAACATTGATTTCCGCCATGAAAGACAGACATGATAGGGGTCACTCGAGACTGCACATGGCCCATGGTCGTGGCAGGAGCTGAGTGCTGTCAGCAAGGTCTGCAGCAGCCTGCCTGCATGCGGATATTTCATGGGGCCGATTCTTCAGTGGCGCCTTTTTTCTCCCACACTGAGAATGGTCCACAACAAGGTGAGGGTCACTGCGCAACTGGGGAACGTGTCAACGCCTACGTTTGACGAGAACAGCCTGGGGCATGCAAGGCCTGATGAGGGAGGGTGCTTCACCATGCTCACGGATCTTTATCCGGAGTTGTGACTAGATGATCCGGTTGTATAGAGGCTTGGTCCAGCGCAGGGTTTAGGATCACTTCAGTGTAGGGTGAAGTTGAAGGTGGTTTTGTGGCACACAGACCACACCCTCCTTAAGGAAATCTTTTAACATGCTGGCATAGACGCCGCTATTGAGGTCATGGTTTGCCAGAGCTTCCCTTTTGGGGTGTGAGGGCTTTGCCCTCAAGGTAGGAGTGCTATCCCCAAAGGGCCAACAAAGTGATAGCCACCTAAATGCTTTCATCCCCAGCTTTGACTTGACACAAGGCGTGGCTTTAAATAGGAGACACGGCTCAGTGTCCAAAAGGGAAACCCTAAATGACACACCCAAAAGGTATCATCACGTTGTCTGACCAACCCGCTAAGAAGGTGGTCTTTTCAGACTTCATTTTTCGGGGACTTTTTTAGTGGGAAAGAAATGGAGGTTGTTTGCATTGAATACTTGTCCCTGGGACATGTGTTAGTTTAGACCTGGGGTTGGCCCATTTGGCTGGCCGGCTCTCACACTCAGGTCGGTTGCATGCTACCTACGAGGAGTAGCGCACCTAGATTCGGATACATTCGGGTTGGGCTTTTCCAACCGATGGAGGGCACTAATCCTCATGCCTCTCTTCCGGGTCTCTGGCCTTTTTGGCCTTCACTTGGGAAGGCCACTCGGGAAGTGCGTGGTTGCGGAAAGCCGGTGCGCCCCACTCTCTGGGAACGAATTTGGGGCCCCGAATTGACCCATAGGTCTTTTTAGGCTAGCACTCATAGTGGTAAACGACATGCATTCAGGAAGTGAGGGCAACAAGCGCGGTTCACTCACCGAAGTCATTTTGGGGAAGATGTATGTTTGTTTGTGGCTCAAAATGAATTCACTTCTGCCAAGCCACGCTCGACTCACTTTCACAGGAGGTCAGGCTTCCCATCATAACGCTTTGCCAGCAGCCACACATCACAGCTCATAGCTGCCACAGCTTCTCGACTGGTTGCTAATGTTCCTTTCTTTTGCCTTCAGAAATGTCTTCCCTGTGAGCGGCTCCAAGTGTGGCCCAGAGCCGGGAACCGTTTGGTCACGATCGGCTCACTTAAGCCACGAATCAACCTGAAACACCCTTGGTTCTATGCAGCATGTTCCTTGAACTGGGGGAGTTGTTTTTTCCCCCAAATGCCTTTTCAGGGACCTTAAGACATACCTGTTTTCCTGCGTGAAGTGATTTCCCTTGGGGCAGCCCGCAGGTGTGGTGTGCCATTGGTGTCCTGAGCCCCTACACCACTCCGTAGGTGGCCGCACACGCGTGCAACCCTCATTCAATGCCCCCAACGACATCAACAAACAAACGTGTGGTTTAAACAAGCCCTATACATAATTGCATTCCTTTTTGTTTGTATCAAACTGCAGGTGTTAAGAATGACCATGCAACACAGCACAAATGCATGGAGGTCAACACATTGGGTGCCGTCTTTTTTACGTAGCAGCAACTCGGCCACGTGGGCTAGAAGCCGAGGTTTGGCTCTTGCATGGCCAAGGGCGTCCTCAAGGCAGCTCTGGCTGCGGGTCTGGCTTGGTTGGATCTTGAACCTACTTTTTGTTGGGCTGGTTTACCACCAGCCAGGCAACAACTGAACGTTTTGGAAAGGGGGCTTAAAAGCCGCCGAGTTTTGCAACGAGAATAAGTTGGAGATATTTGGAGGCCAATGCTTTTTGGGTTTTGCAAGGGGCACAAGTTGGAGACCTGTGATGTACCGCGCGCTGCCTTCCAGGTTTCGTTTCGTGTGGGCCTTCAGATGTTGGGAATGTTGGGTGTTTGTATTTTAACACTCTTAAAACAGCGAGTCCCAACATACAACAGTTTTTGAAGGTTGGTGGGTTCACGGATATGGAATGATTCCTGACAAGGGCTGGGTCTTCCAATTTCAGACTTAAACACGTGTCCCGCAGACCGCACAAACGGCTCCCAAACGCTTCACGCTTAACCAGCCTTGAGCTCAACTCAGGCCAGGTAAAGCTTTGACCAACCAAATCAGGCCCACAAAGGCCAAGAGCCTCGGAGTTGTGTGCTCCTCCCGTGTTTTTGGGTGGGCTAAACATGGAACAGAGTCAGAAAAACACATGTTCTGTGGCTGGGGCTTGGCCGATTTAGCACCGCAGGCGTTCCAGTCCACGCCCCCTGCGGAGTTGAATCGCCGGAGATTTCTCTTCCGTTCACCGGCGGCAATATGTGGAAAGGGCGGAGCGGGTTGGCGTTTGTTCAGCTCTGTTTTTAGTGTGCATGTTGTATTTTCCAAAGCCTGGTTGTCCACGGCAAATACATCGTTCTTGAGTCAGAGGTTGACATGCCCCCAAAAAGCGTGGGTATTTGGGGTAGAGAGTTCTTCCCATGATTGACCAGACCCCTGGTGAATTTCTGCATTGTTCCCTTCAACTGCGAAGATCTTCGAGGTTTCTTCCCTGTGGGGATCCTTCTTTCTAGACCATCAAATTGAACACCCACAATTGTGCGGCGTATTTTGGTGCATACCCAAATCTTTCAAAATAATGAGAGAAGCCCTGTTTTGGGAAACCCCGTTTGGTTTTCGAAGGGGAGCCGCTGGGGGGCGTCCCCAGTTTTTGGACAAACGCGAGCTGTTTTTTGCAAACAACACATTCGGAATCCACGTTTAGAACCAGGAGCATCCCACGGCGGGCAATATGTTTCCAGCCGTTGGACAAATCGATGCGAACTTTGCGACACCTTCGCCCCTGAGGCGACGGTTCCTTTCAAATTCTAGAAGGGCGACCCGACAAAGTCTCTGGGTGCTAGTTGATTGGAGTTTTGACCTTGAACTTGTTCAAGCATTCTCAGGCCTCATGGACGAAATCGTATGTGTCTTGCGAAGAACAATTCGAGCAGCAAACAAGCTCTTTTTGTCTAGTCCACGCATGAAGTGCGTATAAGTATGTATAAGTAAGGTACATGCTAAGTTACAAGCTTTTTGCGGGGCGGGGGGGGGGGGGGGCAATAGCCACCAAGTCTGAGGTATGTGTGCGGAGCTCTGCCTCATCGAGTGTGTCGGGGTCCTTATTCGCCAGGGAGCCATGGAGTGGCGTTGAAATGTTTCATGCGCATAGATGTTTGCAAGAGCATCCGCTCTTGCTGCTACCAGCCCTCAAAAGCATTGGCCATTGGCCATTGTTAGGCGTTTCTACATGGTGAGTGGTTCTACCTTGGTGGGAATGTTGTTCAAGCCAAACTGCAATGGGGCTCCCGGCGCTTCGAGATGCTATGTTCCTGAGTTGTTGCAACGCTCGTCAAGAAAATTGTGGGGACACACGCGCACACGCACACGTGCCTGCAGACGATGTCCATCACAAGTTCCCCAATGGAAATTCACAGATTCTCCCGAAAGCTCGAAGCGGCTCTGCTGTGGGAGGGGGTGACAAATTGGCCGGTTTCGCGGGTGTGCGCTTGGCACGTGTTCGAGGCGCAGATCACAGTGCCACGATCTGTCTTTCTCCAGCTTGGTATGCCTTGGAGTGTGTAAACTTTTTTTGGGGCAAACGCCCACAAAAGGACACAGTCACTAGTCAGACCTAAGGAGTAGGCCCGCTTGGGTGAGGGGAGGGCTCTGAGGCTTGGGAGGATTCTCAAGCGCAAAAAGCCTCTGGCATTTTAAGATCTACCCCAAACAGGGTTTCATTATTCTGCTACCGAGTCTTGCAGGGTTTCCTCAAGGATGCATTCGAACCATGAATGTCGGACTTTGACCATCTTGCCAATCAAGTCATTTTGGGATGATGTGACATGTATCTTTGAGCAAGGTTGCCCCCAGCCAGGCGCCCATCAGGTTGTCAAAGGGACGGTTGGTGAGCCACTTTAAGCTACCTTTTCTTGAAAGGCCCAGTGTTTTGCGAAGCCCCTCCCACGCACGATGCTCTCAAGTCCTCCCTTCTTGCAGTGAAGGGAAACAGCCCCGGTGACTTTGGTACCAGTCGATCATGTTAACATAAGCAACAGCCGGGCTTGCATTCCATTTGCGGGATGCAGCCTGCACCTCCCCCGATTTTCGGACAAAACGCACGAAGATGCACGTCGGGGGCCCAGCCTTTGAGAGGTGCAGGCGCCGAAGCTGCCCTTGCTGGACATGATCAAAGAGCCACGAACTTGGTTCACTCCGGAAAAGCTCCCAAGCCAAGAGTTCTCCCTTTGTTTGTGCTTCTTCCTTTTTCGGTGCTGGCCCCATCAAAACCAAACGGCGCGTTTTTTTTCCTTGTTGCCGCTGGATTTCTGGGGGTTGGCTTCGGTTCTTCGATGGGTGCACCTTTGCAGGAAACCCACATACAAATACCACAAATTTGTAGGGGTCCCTGGTTTACACCCAACTGGCGAAGTAACCAAGGCTTTGTGACATCTCGGTGGCAGAGGACCAGGCAGGATGTGGCCCACATCCCAACCCCGAACAGAGCCACATATGGATGACCCCAAACAAGGCCGGCTGCCCCTGACAGGTCCCCTTTGTGTGTGCAAGGCAAATCATGTGTGGGGGTGGACGTTGAATCCAGTTACGGGTGGGCAAGAGCCAGCCCCACGGTTTGCTGATGCCGCTTGGCTTCTTGTGCAACGGTTCCTTTTTGTTCCACTCGTTTAGGGGACACCTTTGTCTCCTCCAAAGATCGCTTCGAATGCAAACGCTTCTGGAAACAACCGGCAAATCGAAGGCACGGGAGGCCCTGAAGCCGGCGCACTTCGGTGAACGTAGACGGCGCAAATCCCCCTTTTTATGCAGGTGAGCAGAGGCGAAGCCCAAAATGCTTCTATTGCGCCATCGCCATGCACGTGACCCAACTGTACAAACAAGCTCGGTCCTGGCCACCAGGCCCTTGCTCGATTTCCCTTGGCCGACCAGATGCCTTGCCTTGTGAACGCGGCTTTTAGGGTCCACATGGTTCCTTAAAGTCAGGTTGATTCCTTCTGGCCTGAAGAAAGAAACTCCAACAAGGGAGGATAACTAGGATAACTCTTTTTTCTAGAGGAACGCTTTTGGAGGGCCTTGCTTTTTCTATAGCAATTTGCCCGGACCTCCAAGGTTCCTTGTTTTTTGGAAAGGGGTGTCTCCTAGAAGTCAAGTACCAAAGGAGGTGCTCTTTCCCGATGACCACTGGAGGTTTCGGAGTGGGAGCAACCGACGGAGTGCGCGAGCCTCTTTCGGGTTCCTTCCCCCCGATGGCCATTGGTCGAAGCAAATCGTCAGTCGGGCTTTGGCTTTGCTACGGTGGGTTTGGGGGTCAGGGAGGTGGGAGGGGTAGCTGTGATGACAAGGAGATCCCCTTTAAGTTCATCAAGTAGTCATAGAATGTCATAGAAAGGGTCATGTTCCACAACTAGGTGCCAAACCGCATGTTCAAGAAAGGTGCACATTTCGTAGTGGCAATAATTCGGTGCCATTTTCCATAACAAAAGGGAAACATAACTATGGATCTGTTTGGTATTTGTTCCAGGCCCCCTGCACCCATGCCCGCAGCTGGTGACGAACTTCACCATCATCTCCTCACTGGCGCAGAAGCACTCGGTGAGCTGCGCACTCCTCGGGCGAGACGCGGCTGGTGGGAGACGAAGGCAGCTTTCCCAGGGTACATTTCCAGTTTGCAATGGCCCTTCTCCTCTTTGAGGGCACCATTTTGCGCGAGGGAAACCATGCATGGTACGGGGTCCCCCCCTGTTCAGACTCTTGCGGCTTTCGGGTTTGTAAGAGAGTTTTGGATGTAATTATCCTCCTTGCGGAAAGGTTGTCATGCTCACCTATGGGAAGTAGCCAAAGGAATCCGACATTCTCGGACCCATTTTACATGGGAAGCACCCATTTCTACTTGACCATGAATATGATCTCTTTTTTATTTTTTTGGAGGCTGTGCAGAGTTATACCAGAGTAAAAACAAAGGCACCTTTGCAGGAGGCAAGGCACGTGTTTTGAGGGTACCCTTTTTGGGGGTTGCTTTAAATGCAAGCCAAAAGGAAGTCATGCGTGCGTGCGTCAAGATCCCAAGCAAAGTACTTTTGGAACCCGAAGGATGGGAGTCTGGGGATGCCGCCGCCAAGTTCCGTTCCCAAAGCTTAAGCCGAGATTTGCCGAGGATCCTGGGGTTGCATATCCAACAGAGGTAAACCCACGCGTTCCCTCATAGTCCACCCCCAAGCCGACCTGGGCACAGAGGAGTACATCGCCACTGAGGAAGCTCTTCGTTTTTCACTGCGCCCATGATTTCTGGGACAAGACTCAGAGTTGGGCTTCTTTTGAGCAACTCGGGATCTTTGAGAAGTTCCACTAAGAGCCGGCGCGGTGGCTTGGAGCCCTTCTCCCGGACTGGTTCGCACAGTGCCTTGAAGTGTGCATGTGTCAAGCAGCACTGGATGAAGGCACACACCCTTTTGTCGGGGAGTCCACCAAATACGCCGCGTCTACAAGAGAAGCTTGGAAGACCAAAGCTGGACCAAAACTGGCGGTGCATGTGTAGCGGTTTTTCGTGGGGCGACTCGTTTCGGCGCGGGCCTAAGGTTTCAACATCGTGCCTGCGAAGCAGCTCGCCTATGCCGAAGCGCTGGGTAAGGAGAATCGGTTTCGGAATGGGCGGCTTTACTCGCGAATCGCGCATCTGACGCGTGGGTTTCCCGTTTTTCCAGTTTCCGCACAAGCCTTCTTCTTGAAACAGTTGGGCGCTTGTTGCTTCGACATGGTTTGATGTTTGGTCAGTGTTTTCGATCATGAATGCGAAATTGGACTTTGATTGTCCATTGCTGGCAACGTCGACTCAGCGAGCCATCAACCCCTCCAAAGGGACGAGCACAGCTCTAAGATGTAGAATATGGGCTTTGTTGTCCCAGGTTGTGGAAAGCCGAACACTGTTAGCCTGGTGAACTAGGGCAAAGACAGGCCACCAACAGTTGTCCTGCACAAAGAAAGCATCGGCCCACCTTGCCATGTGCCCTAGCCAACCCGACGCCCACCCCAAACCAATCCTAAGCCAACCCGATCCAAGATGCCACGCCCGGTGATGTGTGCAGGGATCAAACGCAAGGGTACTTTTGGAATGCGGGGATTGCAGCTTGCCCAAACCTATCCACAAGCAGTTGCACGAGGACGCGAGCTTGAACTGCGGCCTTTTCAGCAGCAGGAACTTAGTTTCCCAAAGTGAATCGATCTCTTGGGCATGTCGCAAAGTGGGAACCTCCCTCTGGATGGCCAAATGGATGCCAAGTGAAAGGCCGGTCACCGGGCCTCTGATGTTGAGAAACCTTTGGGACCTCTCTGTTGGGACCATTTTTCGTCCTAAAATCCGTTGGGAAAGTGCGGGAAACCAACCGGACACCCACCGCCCGGAGCCGAACCGACAGGAGTGGCCGGCGAGGCAGTGTTTGCTGGACGAGGCGGCCCATTTTCTTGGCGTTCCCTAAGGCTCGTGTTTGTTGAAGCCCTGTTGGTTTCGCTGTTGGTTTCGCTGAACCTGAAAATTTGCACCCTCAACAAAACACACCCTGAGGAGGCATGTTGGGTTAAAGGGCACCCTTGCTTGGGGTTTGCGGGAAAGCCAGCAGGAAACCCTACATTTCAGGGGCCTTTTATCTCAACACACACCCTTTGTGGCTTCCCTAGCCCCCAGACACTTTTCTGAATCCCTGTGCTGAAAATGGTCAACTTGAAGGGCCCCCTTTTGCCAGCCTCAGCTTGCCTGTTCAACCGTTAGCCGCTTTGGTTTTTCATAACTGCCCCTTTCAAGCGAAAAGTTAACTAGCTTTTTGCAGAGGTCGGATTCATTGGCCCAGTATTCTCCCTTTCGAGTCACTGGGCACTCGCATTCAGACCTTGTGTGGAGGTATCCTTTAGATTGGGATCCCAAGCCTATGTATGGGGGAAGGGCTATTTGGGGGGTGTCTCGGCGGGCAGCTACCCACACTCCAAAGCTGCATTGGAGAAGTGGGCTGACCCCTAAAATTCCATGCTTGCTTCCGTTTCCACCCTTTTGCGTTGGAGTAGTCCGGAAACATGGGAAATTGGGGGGATCTTACCCACATGGGGGCATGCAAAAAAACGGGACGTCCAGGGGATTCGGAACCAGCTCCAGCAGCTGGTGGTGAATGCTGCGAGCTCAGCCGCTTGCGCCGCTTGCGCCGCGAGCCCGCGCAACGCAGATCCAAGGCCGAAGTGTGGTCTTCCATTGGCTTACATGAAGATCGTTTATGTTCCCTGCTTGGTTTCAAGGAGTACCTATCACTTTGCATTTTTCTAGGGATGTCAAGCACATGAATTCATTGAAAGTTGTCATGGTCCTTTTCGGCCTGCACAAATCTTAACATTTCACAGGGGGTGCAAGTTTGCCCCAGGTTGTTAGTCATTAGGTTGGAAGGGGGTAGGTGTTTTCCATCGTTTTTGTTTCCGGTAGGGGCCCTCTACATCCCTTTTGTTGGGCAGGTTCGCGGGGCCACGAAAGAAAATTGCGCACACCACGGTAACATGTGCCAGATTACGCAAAACAAACATTCAGGAACATTTGGGGAACTACCATGGTGTTGCAACCAAAGAGCTAAAGGATTGAAGAACACGTCGGCTTTTGAGGTCCCTTTTGATGTGCCCGTTGGTTCTTTTTGGGTGCGGGGTCAAAAACTTAGTTGTCCGAAGGCTACCTTTATACCTTTTCGCATTTATCTTGGGTCAAGGTCCCAACAGGTTAACCGTTTTCCAGCTTCTGTGAAGAGGTGAGAGAACCAACAGCCGGCCACTTCTGTTCGGTGGGCTCGTTTCTGGGATCTCTTCCATCCGTTGGCTTTTTTTCCAAGCCAAGATTTCTCAAAGAGTTAAGGAGCCCCAATGACCAAGGCGCTCCTCGGACGAGTCTGGGTCGAGTTTTGTTTCTGAGGCCTACCAGTCTGCCGCCGCCGGGCTCCTGCGGAATGCCCATAGCAGGCTGTTGGAACAGGCGGGGTCAGGCACCCCAGGCAAGAGTGAAACGGCGAAAGCTGAGGGTCTTTGCTCCGGCCAGGGCCCCCTGGGTTTGGAAGAGAAGGCTTCCCTTCTCGTTGGTGCTCGCGTGTGAGCCTTTAAACCAAACCATGACGTCAGGGTTTGCAAATATCGGGTTGCGCTTTCTGCAAGCGTTCAGAAAGAATCAAAGGGGGCCAGAAGAAAAAACAAACAGACTAGATGTTGATAATTATTGATGTCAACGTTCGCCCTGATAGCAGCGAAACAATCCAGCTGTGGCTGAAAAATAGCCCAAATACCAGCTAATTGAGAGGATCTCCTTAAGGCAGGTGGCTTGTGGATGCATTCTATGCGGGGCCCCTCTGAAACAGCACCCCCAAAAGGGGAAGAAGTGCTCTTTGATTCGTTGCGCGGCACGGACTGCCCAACCCACCCAGCATCAGCAGGGTTCGGCAAAACATGAAAGGACATCTGAAACTAAACCCAAAGGAGGCCGTTCAAAGATAGCGGTTTAACGGTTTAACCATGTTTAACCACCCACCTCACCCACCACTCTTCAGAGGGTCTTCTGTTTGCCCAACCGGCACTTGCAAGCCGAGCTCTTGTGACTCTCGCGCCAGGAGAAGGCCAATGCCCTCTTGCGCGTAGACAAGGGGCAGGCAGGGATTCGAGTCGGATTGTGATCCGTGGGTCTCGGTTCCACGCTGCCCGAGTTTCTGGACGTTTTCGTTTTGGGAAGAACCATCTTGCAGTAAGCAAGAAGTCTGGACTTCCTTTGGCCAATCCAGTCAGGAAGTGAGGTTCAAACTGGAACCAACCCACATGTTTTGTCAGTGGGGAGATAAAGCAACGGCCAAATCTTTAATAAAGGCACAAGAAACAAGGAATCCGAAGGGGGTTCCAGTTGTTCAGTGGCTTCCTCCCTTCAAACATATAATATGAACGATTTTCTTTGAACATGAACCCCGTTTTTCATGGAATCCAATTCGGTGGCACCCTTGGTTCCTTTTTGAAACCATGCCAGCTCCCAATCCCAAACCGACCTGCAGCTCTTGCTTGGTGGGTTCCAAACAAGCATGAAATCATATGAGCCACGGACAAAACACACGAAGACCACTTTATCAAGGCCGGGTACGTTTTTGCATAACACATGCCAAAACCATGCAAAACGATAAGGTCTCCCCCAAAAACGATAACCCTTGGCTAACACACGGCTCTATAATAACCCCTGCAGTTGCAACTTAGCTAGGGTGGGACCCTTGCGTGGCCACCGTAAAACGAGAAGGCGAGTCGCCACTTTCGAGCTGGAGCTGCCAAGGTGTGCTTCGTAAATACAACACTTGTACTGAGAAGTTGCGATTTTCGAGCTGGAGATGCGGAAGTGTACTTCGTGTACTAGACTTGTACTACAAAGTTGCGACTTTCGAGCTGGAGCTGCGGAAGTGTACTTTACGTGCTAGACTTGTACTACAAAGTTGCGATTTTCGAGCTGGAGCTGCGGAACTGTACTTCGCGTACTAGACTTGTACTACAAAGTTGCGATTTTCGAGCGGGAGACGCGGAAGTGTACTTTGCGTACTAGACTTGTACTACAAAGTTGCGATTTTCAAGCTGGAGCGCTGTGGAAGTGTACTTCCTGTACTAGACTTGTACTACAAAGTTGCGATTTTCGAGCTGGAGCTGCGGAAGTGTACTTCCGGTACTAGACTTGTGCTACAAAGTTTCGATTTTCGAGCTGGAGCTGCGGAAGTGTACTTCGCGTACTAGACTTGTACTACAAGGTTGCGAAATTCGAGCTGGAGCGCTGTGGAAGTGTACTTCCCGTACTAGACTTGTACTACAAGTAAGGTCCGGCAGAGCCGGGGGGCGGAAGTTTCAAAGCAGTGAACAACTATAGTTTGGAGAACTGTCTTGGCCCCTTGCTTCTCTCTCTCTCTCTTTCTCTTCTCTTTCTCTTTCTCTTTCTCTTCTGTTTCTCTGTCTCTTTCTCTCTCTCTCTCTCTCTCTATCTCTCTCTCTCTCTCTCTCTCTCTCTCTCTCTCTCTCTCTCTCTCTCTCTCTCTCTCTCTCTCTCTTTCTTCTCTTTCCCTTTCCAAAGCTCCCAACGAGCGCTTCAAGTTCAACTCTCCTCCCTCCCCCCCGAGAGCGCCTTTTCTTTGCCCCAAGCCGTGCTGTAGTCTGGGCTGGAGCACGCGGCCCGAAACGGCACGCGTGTCAAGCGCAAAAGCTAGGCTTTTCTCTTCGTCTGCTTCAGCGGTGCAGCAGTCCGCGCGAGCGCGCGGCCCGACGCGGCACGCGCCGACACGAACGCGCGGCCCGAAACGGCACGCGCGTCATCAAGCACGAAAGCTGGGCGAGGTCAAAGCCTCTTTTACTCTGGCAACCTTAGTCAACGGAGTCATTGCCATGGCGTCTTCCTGAAGACGCTTGATCTCAAGGCTGGGCTGGGAGTCCAAGGAAAGCTGCCACGCCCGACGGCGGGCAAACGGCTCGATATCTCCGTCCGCAGCCGGAAACTGGAAGATCACCTGCCAGTGACGCAAGGAAGGCTCGCCGTCCGTGTCGAACAGAACATGAGGCTTTGCAACCACCCGCAACAGCGTGTCAGGCCGCTGTCGCGCGATGGCCAAGCTGTCTCTGACGCTGACCACCCACATGAGGTCCGCGCGGATATCTGGCTGCGTGGCGTCTGCGCACTCGAAGATGATTCGCACTCCGCGCTCGGCTTCGTTGCACTCCTGCACAGGATCTTTGGCCGTCACTCGCAGTAAGAGCTCCGCGTACTGGACTGGCAGATCCTCACCTGCCGTAATTTGCCCTGCGTCATCCAAGTTCGCGTCTGACAAGTAGATGCATGGGCAGCCCGGGAGTGAGGCGGCCGCGCGCAAGCACAGGAGTGGCTTTGCTGAGCCCGAGTAGGTAAGCGGAGCCTCGCGAACATGCACCACTTGCAAGGTGTTGCGCGCGGCGCGAGAGCCAGTCGGTCCAGAGTACGCTTCGTCGTGCGCCACGACGAAGCGCACAGCCCACTTGCGGGCTCGGATCTCGTGCTCCGCATTCTCTCGCGACTGTACCGCGTCGCCCGGCCGAAACGCCAAGGCAGCACGCAGCACTTCGTCGACGCACTTGGTAAAGATCCTCGCGTCCAGCGTGGCCGTGTGATCCCACACAGTAGCCTCCAGGCTGTAGCACGGCCGGACGCCAGCTTCGTCGTGTTTGTCGCAAGTCTTGCGAAAGCAAGTGGCGCAGCCTGTGTAGTGCCAAGAGTCTTCCGGCACCCGGGACAAGGTCTGCAGGTGAGCCAGCGTGCAGAACGGTGCCTCCCACACGTCCTCGTGAGAGAACTTCTTCGCTTCGGCCGCCGGCAAAAAAGCGCCGAGCGTCGCCAGCGAGACCAAAGTCGCCGGTCCGGCGCCGTAGTCTCGCGCGGCAGCGCCGCCAGCGCGCAGGGATAGTGTCTTGCAGCGCTCGCGGCCAGCAAAACAAACATTCTCGGCTTTTCACTCGCGTTTCTTACTCCATGGCCAGCGCTTGGTCGCTGCGCGCGCGCGCGGCCCGAAACGGCACGGCGGCACATGGCGTGTCCAAGTAGCACGCTCGCTGCGCAAGGCTCAAGACAGCACGCCCGCTCGTGTCCGCCACAAGCGGCCCGAAACGGCACGCTAGCTCGGCAAGCGCAGGTCTGGGGTGCCTGGCTTGCAAATAAGCAAAAAGGTTATCTTTGGAACCTCAACCAGGCAGAGGTGGAGCGCACCAACGGAAGTGCCCAGCAAAAGTTCTTGGGGTGCCGCAGCTTCTGTTCGCTTTCAAAATGTGACGGCGCCAGAAATCTCAAAGGTTAACTTGCTAGGCTCGAGTTTGGTTCTGTTAGCCAATGTCTTCGCTGATATATAGCTCCAATAGTTCCAAATCGCTAAGCACCCCCGCAGTTTTTTTCCCCGTCGATCAGGAGCTTTTGCTTCTCTTATCCCAGCGCGCGGCCCGAGACGGCACGCCCGCGGCACGACAGTTTTTCTCCGGCTGACTCTACGCACTCTGCCCACTTAGCTTTATACCACGTAGTTTTTTTCCCCGCCGATCGGGAACTTTTGCTTTTCCCATCCTAGCGCGCGGCCCGAAGCGGCACGCCCGCTGCCCGCGGCCCGAAGCGGCACGCTAGGTCGGCTTCGCGCTCTGGCGCGCGGCTCGAAACAGCACGCTCGCAGCGTGGTCTTTTTCTCCGGCTGGCCCCACGCCCTCCGCCTACTTGAGCTTACGCCCCTCAGCTTTGTCCCCGCCGGACGGGAGCTTTTGCTGTTCTTATCCCAGCGCGCGGCCCAAGACGGCACGCCCGCGGCACGACAGCTTTTCTCCGGCTGACTCTACGCACTCTGCCCACTTAGCTTTATACCACGCAATTATATTTTTTGCCCGCACATCGGGAGATTTTGTCTTGCTTATCCTAGCGCGCGGCCCGAAGCGGCACGCCCGCTGCCCGCGGCCCGAAACGGCACGCTGGCTCGGCTTCGCGCTCTGGCGCGCGGCCCGACACGGCACGCTCGCAGCGCGATAGCTTTTCCCCGGCAGGCCCCAGGCGCTCTGCCCACCCGAGTTTATGCCCAGCATTTTTTATCCCAGCCGGACGGGAACTTTTGCTTTGCTTATCCTAGCGCGCGGCCCAAGACGGCACGCCCGCAGCATGATAGTTTTTCTCCGGCCGACCCTACGCACTCTGCCCACTTAACTTTATGCCCCGCAGTTTTTTCCCCGCCGATCGGGAACTTTTTTGTTTGTCTTATCCTACCGCGCGGTCCGAAACGGCACGCCCGCTGCCCGCGGCCCGAAACGGCACGCTCGCAGCGCGGTAGTTTTTCCCCGGCTGGCCCTACGCGCTCCGCCTACTTAAGTGTGTGCCCAGCAATTTTACCCCCGCCGCACGGGAGCTTTTTTTTCTTATCCTCGTGCGCGGCCGGACATGGCGCGCCCTCCTACCGCGCGGCCCGAAACGGCTCGCTAGCTCGGCTCCGCGCTCTCGCGCGCGGCCCGAAACGGCACGCCCGCAGCACGATACTTTTTCTCCGGCAGGCCCCCCCCCCCCGCCGGACGGGAACTCTTGTGTATCTCATCCTACCGCGCGGCCCGAAATGGCACGCCCGCTGCTCGCGGCCCGACACAGCATGCCCGCTCAGCTTCGCGCTCTTGCGTGCAGCCCGAAACGGCACGCTCGCTGCGCGCGGTCTTGCCCGCTGGACTTTATTTATACCCTATATGTTTGTCTTCATGCTGCTTGGATACTTCAATGCAAACAGCTGCAGACGTCAATGCAAAAAGCTGCAGAAGCGAAACGGCGAAAACTCCCCCCAACATCTCCAAATCACAAGGCCCTCTGAAACATGCACAACAACTGGCCACCTACTTCAATGGGATCACTAGCATCAGAAATCAACCAATTGGTGCGTTTTCTTGTCCCGCAGAGAACGTCGCACGAACACGTTGAGACACTGATGAAAGCAACATAGCCAGATTCGACAAAGCAGTGATAACTCCCCCCAAAATCGCCGAAACAGGGCCCTCTGAAACATGTACAACAACTGGCCTTGCAAGAAAAAAACAGAGGTCACAGCAACAACCTAGCTGCGATCTAGAGGAAATAACAACGGTCCCCCTGCCCTTGCTGACTCAGCCTTACTGAGTCATTCTCGCG